AACTTTAAATGAGCCTGGAGATTGAGACCTGAGTCCTTTACACTTCCTGCCCTCAGCACAGCTGTGCACACGGCAGGACCTGGGTCTTTTAGGCTTCCTCCCCTGAGCACAGTGTTGGGCATATAGCAAGCTCTCAGGGATGAGGATTGAATTGAATTTCACTGGAATTTAGCAGCTATGTCAAAGCCTTGGATGGTGGGTCCCTGAGGTTGCCAGCCTGTCTTCATCCCATACAAAGATGCCCCAGTGAAAAGATTTCCAAAATCACTTCTTTTGTCCAAAAACAATATGTGAAAGCTGAGTATTTCAAATGTTGCACTGGAAAAGGATGCTGATTACATCACTCAAGCTGCACTATGACATCCACTGCTGGCTAACTAGTCTGCAGGTGGAGGGATGACTGTTTATATGGCAAATCTGTATTAGCTCTCTTTGCCCTGCCTTCACTCAAGTACCTTAAAATAATAGCAGCTGCCTTGTAAAGAACGGAAACACAAACTCTTCATTTTTATTTTACCCATATACTCATGGTTTGTCACACCAATCTTCAATTCAAAAAGTACCTAAGTCTATTTAGATATTGAATTCCAGTTAAGATATTTAATATATCTTGCTTTCCTATGTGAGATCTGTGTAGTTTCATATTACATTCTCCCGCAAGTCTCATTGAATTAAAAATATGTTTATACATAATTCTGGAGAATTAATAACAATTTTCAAACACTTAAAAAAAGATTTAAGTAAGCTTCCAAAATGCATGTAATACAAGAGGATAAGATCAATGAGAGAGGAAATCAGAGCAAGAATAGAACAAAGTTGTGATAGGTTGGTGCACAAAAGGGGGCCAGAAATTTGACTCTATCCTTTATAGCAGGTGAAGCAAAGAAAAAAACACAGAATGTTCAGTGTCCAAAAGGTGAAAAATCAGTCAATCTAGGACCGACAAATTTCTCCTCTGGGTTTTCACAAGGGGATAATGGGTGATGTGGGAGACCACGTCATTGCACCTCCCTTGCATAGATTTAGCAGAGAGCTTCGCCCAGCTGTTTCTTGTAGAGTGCCTCAATGAAGCCAATGCTCTGACACCAAGTGCAATTCAGAAAAAGCAAGGCTGTGAGGCGCCAGAGCCATGCTCTTGAAGGATATTGTTTCTAATGGATTGGCTAGAAGACAAGGGGAAAAAATTAGCATTTGGAATCCCTAGAGCCATGGAGTGAGTGCACATCCATTAGGCAATCCTCCATGAAAGGAATTTTCCTGCTCCCCAGCCTATAGAGTCAGGAGCTCTATTCTCTGGGGGGGAAACCTGAAGTGTGGATATTCTATGCTGCTTAACTAAGTGGACAGTAGAATGTCCATCCTTTCTTGAGAATTATGAAGCCTCAGAAAAAGATTGGTATCCTGATCTGCCTTGTGGTGGGCTGATGGAGTATATGCAGATAGGGCCAAGAACTTCTTCAGAAATGCACACAAATAGGCAACCCATGGCCCAGCATTCCACACCACAGAGCAAGACAGCAAGAACTGCAGTGTGGGCACACTTTCCAAGAAGGCTTTACAATGCAGCCAGAGGGGACTGCACAGAGAATTCCATGTTCTGACAAACTGCCAGGGTAATCACGTGTTTCTGGATTTGATGGCTTATTATCTAGTAGTCAAGGTAATTGGGGATATTTTTGCTTCTTTATTAGACGGAACCAAGAGTGGGAACATCAGGGAAGGAGGACTGTTCTGGAGGGTGATAGAGGCACTGTGGGGGAAATGACGGTGTGCAGTTATATGAAAAATGCAGAACACAACCTGTTTCCGTTAGCTTTGGTGCATGGTTAACCACCCCAAAACTTAGTGGTTTAAAACAACTAACATTTATTATTTCTCCCGATTCTGTGAGCTAGCCAGGCAGTTCCTCTGCTGGTTTCACTTTGCTGGTTTTGACTCACTTGTCCAGATGCATTCAGCTGGAGGAAGAGTTGGCCTCAGAGGTTCAAGACAGCCTCACTCACAGGCGGCAGCGGGGCTGGCTGTGGGCTGGGCTGTCTTGGTCTCTTCCCTGTGGCCTCATCCTTCAGGAGGTTGGCCTGGCTTCTTCACATGGCCCTCTCTTTCAAGAGGGTAATAACAGAAGCTGGAAGGCCTCTGAAAGTCACAGACACCTAACACTCAAGTAAGACACAAGGCTAGCTCAGACTCAGGGAGAGAGAAATAAACTCCACCTCTGCCTGAGGAGCAGCGGCAAACTTGCACTGCAAAGGGGCATGCATGCTGCATGAAAAATGGGCGGCCACACTTGACAGTCACACAACCACACACACAAAAGAATATAAGGTATGAGACTGTTTTTTGTATAACTGAAAAATAGGATTAGGAATGATTCATTTGTTTGTTTTACTTTTCCCTATTTTAAACAAGTATATTACTTTCATTCTAATTTTTAACAGTGTTATTATTAGTCAGGGCTCATCCACTAGGGAGTGACAAAACCCCAGTTCAAGCAGCTTAAACAGAAGGAATATTTATTGGCTCTGGTAGAGCTGGACCCAGGGATCCAATCAACGTCGTTGGGACTCTATTTCTTTCTGTCTGTGAGCTCTGCTTTCCTCCTGGGGGCTGGCCTGTTATTCTCCTACTGCAAACGGACTTCCTCTACACAGCTGGAGAAAGTGCCACTTCTAGCCCCAAGCTTATGTTGTCATAGCTGAGGACCACTAGCAAAAGAGAACTTCTTGGTATGCCAATTATAGAGAAAGATTTTTCAGTCATATGCTTAGCTGTTGCCACGGGTAGGAGGTGATGTGATTGGCCAAGCCTGGGTCACATGCCCATCCCTGTAAATGGGGATAGGGTGGGAGGCTGAGATTGACAGCTCCACGGGTACCACACGGAAAAGGAAGGCATGGCTCCTCAGCAAGACAATGTATGCAGACAAAACAACATATGCCATCTATATATTTGTCTTTTGTGTTTAAATAAGAACAGGATGCAAAGGATCTAATTTGACAGCAGTTGTGTGTAGGGAGGAACGTTCTGGGATGTCGTTGGCCGTAGTAAGTAAACTGCCAAGGAAACTGGGAAGCTGTGGCCACAGTGCTTAGGGAAACTCTGAGGCCAACTCTCCCTCCAGCTGAATGCAACTGGACAAGTGAGTCAAAACCAGCAAAGTGAAACCAGCAGAGGAACTGCCTGGCTAACTCACAGAATCGGGAGAAATAATAAATGTTAGTTGTTTTAAACCACTAAGTTTTGAGGTGGTTAACTATGCACCAAAGCTAACCGAAACAGGTTGTGTTCTGCATTTTTCATATAACTGCACATCGTCATTTCCCCCACATGATTAATATATTTATTAAGTTTCTTTTGGTTGCAACCATCAGAAACCAACCTTGGCCAGGTTAAACAAAAAGGAAATGCAGTAGAAAGTTCCTGGGGGTATCTCAAGGAACACAAGGTAAAGCTGAGGGGAGGGGAGAAGTCAGGGCCTCTGTGGGGCCGTCAACAACAGGGGGTCACGTAGTGTCTCTCCAGAAAACTGCCATTAACAATCCAGTGCTAATGACTCCTGGACTACAGACTTCAAGTTCTCAGAAGATCTGACCTGTCCCAGCTGGGCAGTGTCCACCTCAGGGTCATTTGGCTATGGTGGGGGCGGGGGCAGGACGAGGCGACAGAAGCAGTGGAAATCCCTATGAAAGCTGGAACAGGGTAACTCACTCATGGCCCAGGCCTGCTTTTCAGCTGCTGTTTCGATTTTCAGTAACTTCTTTTCTTTCACATCTTTTTGTAACGCATGTATCAAGTCTCCTTTTAAAAGGGGGGAAGAATCTGTATGCGGCCACTTTTGAAACTGTAACGACAACCAGGGTAACATTGTATACTTTCGCACAATACAACTGACTATCAAGGTTTTAGGTGCACTCTGAGAGGGTGGGTTGGCGGATTTAATCAAGTTTAAAAAATATTTGGGGTGTGGACAAGAAAGGAACTGTACTAAAAAGGAAAAAGGGGTTAAAGCCAGAGTAACGGCTGTTGTGAACGGAGAGAGGAAAGCAGCAAGAGCCAACGTGTGGACTTGGGGTTGTTTCCAGCAAACAAGACCAGCTCAAGGGTGTCGGGAAGGGATCAGACTGTGCCTGGCGTGGGGGCTGCCTAGTTCACCGGACTGGGGAACGACTCCAGACCCTAAGTGACGCCGCTTGCAGTGCCGGGTGCCGCGGACAGCGCCTACTGGGACATGGGTGGCTGGCGCCTCGCACGGACGGGCGGGCCCGGGACCTAGGCCTGGGGCCCCGGCCTGGCCGACTCCCCCGCCTCCCCGCACCTTGCGGTCTCACGGAAGCGGCCGCCCCCGGAGCGGGGCGGAGGGCCGGGGGCCGGCAGCGCGCGGGGAGGCGTCTGCTCCCGGGACTGAGGCGGCGCCTTCGCGTGCCGGCTGCCGCAGGAACGCAGGCCGCCGCGCCATCGGCGACATCTTGCTCGGGAGGAAAGCGCGGGCGGGCGCCGAGCTGCTGCGCCAGGCGCGGGGACGGGCGGGCGCCGCGGGGCTGGGGCGCAGGCAGGCCGGCGCGGCGGGAAGCAGGTAAGCCGGGCCGCCCTCCTGCGCACACGCCTCGCTCGGCAAGGCGCTCCGGCGACCCGAGGCCACCCGCTCGCGAGCCCCGCGCCTCCTCCCCGCGCTCCTCCCTCCGCCCGTCCCCGCCTCCCGCCGCTCGGGCTCCGACCTCCGGACCGCTCTCTGGGGACGCCCTCCCGCCCGCGCAGCCAGGCCGCCCCGCCCTCCCCCGGAGCCGCGCGCCCGAACCCCGCCCCGCTTCTCGGGACCGCGTCGCAGGGAGAGCCGCCTCCGGGCGGGCCTGCCCGGGACCCCGCCCCTCCCCTGGGCCTGGCCGCCCGCGCCCTCCGCCCCCTCGTCCCCGCCCGCGCCCGCCCCGTCCGGGCGGGGCTCCGGGTTTAAACGTCGCGGCGGGTCGGGCAGGCAGAGGGGACGGGCGGGGAGGGGAGGGGCGGGGCGGGCTTCTGTGTCGTGTCCCGGTTCCGTAGGCGGCGGCGGCGCGGAGCGGAGGGCGCTCGGGCCGGCGGGCGGCACCATGTCCCCGGGGAGCGGGGTGAAGAGCGAGTACATGAAGCGCTACCGGGAGCCGCGCTGGGACGAGTACGGGCCGTGCTACCGCGAGCTGCTGCACTACCGCCTGGGCCGCCGGCTGCTCGAGCAGGCGCACGCGCCCTGGCTCTGGGACGACTGGGGCCCGGCCGGCGCCTCGGACGACTCGGCGTCGTCGGCGTCGTCGGGCGCCGGGGGCCCCTCGCCCCAATGCACCCCAGCCTCGCCGCCCCTGCCCGCCGAGCCCACGGCGCAGGAGGGTCCCGATCCGGCGGCGCGCGGGGCCCCGGAGGAGCAGGGCGCGGAGGCCGCGGAGGCCGCGGATGTGGAGGCCGCCGAGGCCACGGCTCTGCCAGGTACCGGGCCCGGGAGGGGGCTGCTCGGAGGACTGGACTTACTCTTGGCGTCTTTTTCTCCTAGCGCTCCGGACAAGCGCTTCCCTTTTTTTTCGTAGACCGAGAATACGCCTCCCTCGACCACGTAAGGAAGGTGTCAGCCCCGCCTCTGCCCTCCTCTCCTTTATTTCCATCATTAGGTGGCTCTGGGTTAAGCCAGCTGTGAACTTAATTGAAGTGTCGCTGATGAAGTCCTGGTCTTTACCCGAGGGCAGTGGTGGCCTTAGTGAGTCACTGAACCCCCGTCTATTTATTTCTAAGCACCCATTTTTTAATGAGAGGAACCCAGCTTTCATGAGATTCTTCATCAATGGTGACACCAAGAGGTTACGAACCACTGAGCTAAGCTTTCTGTCTCGTGAATGGGGCCCTTGTTTTCTGTATCAATTCTCTGACCTCGCTGCGCTCTCTCTAAAGAATATTTTGCATTTGTTTACGCAGGCTGTTGTGTAATTCCTGGCTGCTGGGGGAATATTCCTTGTAAATGCTAGGTCCTTGCCGTTTCTGCCCACCCACTCATCGAAAAGCGCCCATTCTCAGGCTGTCGCTGTCTGCAGGAGGAGCAGAAAATGCTGGAAAATGGCTCTTGGGTGCTGTGCGTCTGCTGTTTTGGCCATGGCCTTACACTTTCTTTCCTGCCCAGAGGGTGCGGAGCTGGGGACTCTCAGCAGGAGGGGCCGAGGGGATGGTGCTCGCGCTGAAGGCCAAGCTGAATGCCTCGGGACAGCCTTCAGGAGCCCACGGTTCCTTCTGTGACTCTCTAACGTTGGACCGACACCACCACGAGGTCACTTGATTTTAAAGAAGAGCTAGTGAGAAAAATAACTAAAATTTATTGAGAGCTTATTATACATCCAGTCACTGATCTTAGAATGTGTATTTTCTTATTCAGTGTTTAAAACAATTCTAAGAGGTAGGGTCATCATTTTTATCTCAATTTTACAAAGAAATGGAAGCTCAGGATAAATGATCAGCGGCTTTATTTTCGTTTCTAGCATTGTATGCAGTGATCAACCAAACTCCCCTCAGATGTCACCCTGCCTCTCGGTGAGAGGCTGAAGAGAGGAAACGTAGCTATGAGCCAGGCTGTTTTGCCCTTGTTCTACTGTCTGCAGCTATTCTCAGGTCCTTATCTGTGGCAGAGCTGCCTCTCCATCCTGGTGTTACTTGTGAATTCCCACAGATTCCTGAATATCTAGAAGCTGGATTCCTAGCTTCAGTGATCATTGCTAGAAATGTGACTAACAGAAGGTAGGGAACTTGTCTTCCAGTTTGTTCCTGTGGGCACTGAGCTACCAGCCAAATTAGGAGATGCGCTTTATCAGACTGAATGGGCTTTTCTTCTCCGGGCTCTTCCCCTTCATTGTTTGTGAAAGAGTTGTCAGTTATTTCCATGCATATGTATATCAGTGCAGTTTTTAGACAGCATTGTAGTATGGATGGTGCCTGTGTTTGCCCGACTTCATGATTATTTTGGTTTCCTTAGAGATGCTGAGTCCGCTCAGTGGCTAAAGTAGTTATTTCTTCTCTGCTACTATTTCTGGTTTAGGCGTCAGGGAGAAGAAAGGATGTTTCTGCTTTCAGGACTCCCAGTCACAGAATCTTTTGCTTTGTTCCTGCCTGTCACAGCCCCTGTTGGTTCTTGTGTCGGGCAGGATTGAAAATCCCTGTTTTCAAATGGACGGTTTCATATACTAGAATCACGAGCACTCTTTTGAATTTCTATAGAACATTTCTTCCTTGTTTTTACTGAAGCCATATACACACATAGAATCATATAGGTCTGTACTGCATGTTACAGAAGTACGGCAGTTCCCCTGCCACACGCACACACCAGCTCCCTATCCCTTAAGTGACCACTTCCCATTCCTCTGGTGTTTCCTCTGGTGTTTATTTCCCTTTCTCAAAGTAACATGGCTTTTATTGACGCCTGATTTTCTTCAGTTTTTAGCATTATCTATTGGCTTTAATTCTTTCTACGGCTCTCCTAACCCATACACATGGCTCATCCCCACACCCTCTCAATACAGTCATCATAGATTTGTTAGATTCACAATTAGTATCTACAATATTGTGCCTTTGGAAAATGTTGCTCACAGCTGTCCTATATTGTTTGCCATGATTCCCTTTTCCTTCTTTCACAATACAACCAACACATCAGGTTCACTGTTACTCTTGACATCTTCAGACAGCCCTCCCAGGCCTCTGACCCACTTTTACCTGGCCTGGTTACTGCTCTTGTGGCCTGCTGCCTGGTTGCACTGGTTGCATCTTGGGAGGGCCCTTCCACCACCCCAGGGACTCCCTGGGGCTCTCATGTCATCTTCTTCCTTGGTTTACGCCCTCTTGCTGGAGCTTATCTTCTAGTAGCGTTCTGAGAAAGGGTGTTTGAGAGGTTAATTTTCTGAGACCTCGCATGTCAAAAGATGGCTTTATTCTGCCTTTACAATTCAGTGAGTTTGTGGCTGGGCCTGGACTTCTAGGTTGGAAGTAACTAATTGTCTCTAAAACATCTGGAGGCATTGCTGTATTGTGCTGTACTTGTGATGTTGCTGTTACAGTTCCGTGTCATTCTGATTCTTGATCCTTTGTACCTAACAAGTTCCCTGCCTAGGAAGCTTTTAGGGTCCTCTCTTTGTCCTTTAGGTTCTGAAGTTTCTCATTGATCCAGGTCTGTTTTCCTCTGGTGTGTTTGGTGGGTCCTTGCAGTCGAACTCATGTTTTGTAATTCTGGGACGTTTCCTTGAATTGTTTTCTCATTTCTATTTTTTTCCCCCATTCCTTTCTTTCTAAACTCCTTAGTTGGATGTTAGACATCATGAATTTATCCTCTAATTTTGTGACCCTGCCCTTCCCCCAGTTCCCATTATTTTTTTTCTTCTATTTTTCTGGGGGATATTCTCAATCTTATCTTCCAGCTCTTCTCTTACATCTTTCATTTGTGGGATCCTATTTATTCTTTAATTTTAGAGCTCTTGAATTGTTTTCTGAGCCAGCATTCCTTCTCCCTCGCTTTCTTTCTTCCTTCCTTCCTTGCTTTCCTCCTTCCCTTGCTCTTTTTATTCCTTTATTAAAAATCGTATTCTATTCCTGATCCATGCATATAGTATCTTATCTTGCTGAGATTCTTGCTATGAAAGTTTTTTGTGCATTTTCTTCTTGTATGTTTCTTTAGCATAGTCTTTCCCCCCACCCCCTTCCTTTTGGTTCTTTTTGTTTGTAATCCTGTATTTCATGTTAGCGACTTTTCTCAAATATCTAATGATCCTCAGCTTCTCATTCTTAAGAGATGGGTACTGAAAAGCTGTTTGGACGTTCCCTGTGGCAGTGGGGTGGGAGTGCTTGTTCACTGTGGGACTCCTTCCCTCCAGAGCCAGCATGCTTTGAGGGGTGGTCTAGACTGTCTCCAATTCCTTTCTTCATAGTCATATTTCTTTTTAAATTAAATTTTATTATTTTTTTAAGCAAAGGTATATACATGCATAATTTAAAAAAATGTGCTTAACATGAAAAAAGTAATTCTGACCATGTCCCACCCATGCCCCTTGCTCTGTAGGGCGCTCCTTCCAACTCTTTTTAGCTTTCCTTTCAGCATTGGGTCCCCTCTTCTCTGTTAGACTTATCTGTTGGCTCTGTTAGTTTAAACATTACATATTGACTTCCATTATGGGAGATGAAGATTTAGCTCAAGATCTTACCTCTGCCTTCTCCCTGCCCAGACATACTCCAGCACCCATTTTGTCCCAGTGTTAACTGTATGACTCTTTTGCTCAGCCACTATTCTGTGTTTGAATTATCCTGGCTATGTAAATATTTGCAGGTGAGCCATGTAGTAAATTCTCATTATATTTTCTTTATCATTTGTTTTTGCTGAAGTTAATCATTGCTTCATTTTTTTATACTCCCATCACTAATTCAGCCTGAAATAGTCTGGTACTACTGTAAAACTTGTCACATGCTTGACACGTTAGATGTTCTATTCATTTAATTTTTTTCCTTGGAGATACTTTTTTGGGAATTTTGATTCTCCTGTTCCAATTTAGACCTTATGCTGTCCAGATCTGACGCTGCTGCCAGACTGGGGCTTCTCTCCACTGTTTGCTGAGTAGTATTCCCATCACTTACCTCCTTCATCTGACCCCTGTCTTATAAATCTCAGGTCTTCCTTTGCGTGGCTTATCCCTTCCTTTTGGTGGAGCACATCCTCTGTGAATCCTGAGAAATGTTGCATGGGAAGTAAAAATTTTGTGAACTTGCAAGTCTGAAAATGCCATTATTATATCCAAAGACTGGACTGATATGTTGGCAAGGTAGAGAATTCTAGATTAGAAATTTCAGTGTTTGAAGATATTATTATATTGAATTTGAGATTTTGGTCTTGCTGTTAGAAGTACTATGCCATTCTAACACCTATCTTGTGTATGTGACCTGTTTGTTGTTTTGGAAGTTTTTAGGAGACTGTCTTTATCCTAGGTGTTTTAAAAGTCTGTGTGCTTCTTTTTTCATTCATTGGGCTGAAAACTTGGCGGGCCTTTTCAATCTGGGTGGGCGTTTTCTTTCAGTTCAGGGATATCTTCTAGTACTACTAGCTGTTTAAAATAATTTGCTCTATTCATTTCTTCTTTCTACAATTATTTTTAACTGGATGGATGAAACTTCTAACATTTTTATATAAAAACGTTTTGATGTTGGGATTTTTGGGTTCTATTTTGTGGGAGAACTCTTCAATTTTACCTTCAAAACTTTCTATTGACATTTTTAATTCTATCAGCCTAGTTTTAAATTTTGAAGAGATTACCTTTTTTTGTCCCAAGTGTTCTTTTTAAAAAAAAAAAACTCCTTTTTTGAATAGCATGCTGTTCTTGGATTTCTTTTCACTCCCTGCAGAAAGCCATAAATATCCTTTGAGAGCTCTCTTATATCCCGGCCTAGTTTTTTTCTGTGTATTTTGGTCTCTTATTAGAGGATGCACTCAAATGTCTGCTCTGAGCCTGTGTGCTCATATGTAAGTGAGGCTTGCTTTTACTGTGCTTGGTGCCCCAAGTCCATACCCCCTCTGGCTCTTCCTCTCCAGAGAGTAATCCATGTGCCTTCTGCGGTCAGAGAGGGGCGGTCGCCTGGATATGGACCAGAGGAAAGACTATGCAAGAAGTATGTATTGCTGCATAACAGAATTACACTGAAAACTAGTGACTTACACCTCTGGTACTCATTTATTTTTGCACATGGTTTCTGCGGTTGGAATTTGGCCCAGGTGCAGGTTCTGCCTTGCCTCTGCTCTATCTATGGCCTCTGCTGGAAGGCTCCAGGGCTGGAGCCTGCTCTGCTAGGACATTCACATATGATATCCTGGTGTGCCTGGCCCTCCCTCTAACATGCTGGCTGGTCTCCCTGAGAGAGATGTGGGCAGATGCTGTATTACCCTTTACAACTTATCGCTGGGAGACACGAAGCACCTCTTTCACCCCATCCCACACTTACAAAAGTCTGCCCAGGGTCAAAGGGGAGAAGCATGGACCCCAGTGCTCAACAGAGTTCCGTTCATATTACATTGTCAGGAGAGCATGTGGGCTGGGCACTGATTGATGCCGGACCTTTGGAAAGGGCAGCCCACTGCACTAGCCTTTTGGGGAATCTGGTGCCTCCAATTCTAGTTCTTTCTGGTGTTCAGCTTGTGTCCTGTGGGCCTTTCTCCTTCAGGGAGTGAGGATTCGCCTTACTCAGTTCTGTGAGGTCACTTCTACCTCTTCATTTCTTTCCATCTTCCAAAATTTTATTGACCCCTTTGACTGATGTCATCACCTCCCTTGCTGTTTGTACTGTGGGTTTCTACCTTTTTTCCTTCACTTTAGTGGGGTTTTGGGAGAAAGGGGCTACACGTACCTGTCGTCAGTGCACGTTTAACCTCAATTCCTGCATTTGCTCTATTTTTACTTAGTTTACTTTTCACCACTTTTTCTCATTCTTAATCAATCTTGCCAGAGGTTTGTGAATTCTGTTAGTGTTTTTCCAGGCTAACTCTTGGTTTTCTTTATGATATGTTTTCATTAATTCATGATCTTCTTTTCCTTACTCTAATTTTCTTTGAGCTTATTTTTCTAACTTTTTAAGATGGACGCTTATCATTGATTTTTTCCCTTGCCTTTTTTGATATATACCTGTCATTTCAAATGATTTATATTCCCTCTCCTCTCCATGCTCTCTATGCCTCTGAACAAGTCACTCTGTCCTCCTGGATTCTCTTTCCCATTCTCCTCCTGGCTACCTTCAGCTTGTCCTTTAAATTACATCGTTATTACCTTCTCTAGGCAGGCCTCCCTGGAAGCTCTGGTTAGACATACATGGGATGAGAGAGGGAGAGAAGGAAGGGAAATGAATCAGGGCAGTTGGTTAGGGTGATTTTCCTCCCTTTCTCAGTATTGTAACTACACAAGCCTTGCCTCGTTTCCCTTTGTCTTGGCCCTCATGGGCTCCTTTCTGCCTCCTCCTAGATCCAGGGGAGAGAAGAGGACAAGGTGTGGACACATCACTCAGAGAAATGTTTGAGCAATGAATGGATTTAGGTTCTCATGATAAAATGGGAGGTTGTCATCCCACGTCGTCCTAAACAGCTCCAGTGCTGGCTTCAAAGTTACCGTGCATGGTGATGCAGAGCATTAAACACAGGGTTGGGTGTGGATTGTCTGTTCCTTAAAATGTTTAGTAGTAAATGAAACAATTTGGTAGAGTCAAGGTCATTGCTGAAGACAGAACTGACAAATGGTCTATCAAGTCTTCTCGCGCACATGTGCCACTGTGTCTGGACTGCCTGTGCAGGGGCTCACTCGACTCTAAAGGGGACCTGGACACAGGCGAAAAAGAAGCACAGTTGGAAGTAGTCAGGGACAAGAGCCGGTCCTAAAGAGGTGACAAGGTTTTGGAAGAGCAATCTAGAAAATCATCACCAGAGCCAAATTGTGAATCTTCTGAAGCGAGGGGTGTCCTTAAGGCCTAACAATGGGGGTGAGTGTAATGGGGCTCTCGATGCATCAGGGGCTTTTATTCAAATGGAAGTTTAGGCTGAAATGAAACATGGGCTCACACACGATTCAAGCAAAATAGTATAACTTTTACAAAAAATAAAGGGGGTATACAAAATAACGAATGGCAAAATCATAAAAGGTATTTAGGGGAAACAGTTATGTTTGGGAGGTATCCTTAAGCTGCTGTTCACTTCAGTTCGGCAGCCCCATTCCCCGTTTCCCCAGCTCTGCTGATGGGATTTGGGACGTGTGGACCGTGGGCCCTGGTTCAGGTAGTCATTTCTGTTGTGAGTGTTGGGGAAGCTCTCCTAACACAGGAGCCCCCATCTCCAGCTCTTCCTACAGGAATGCACAGCTGTGCACCCAGGTGAGTAACTATGGAAACCACTCCCTATTATGACTGAGGGCCTGCAAATTAAGGTTGCCTGCTCTTTCCAGGAGCAGGTCAGAGCCATAGGGAGCATTTCCTATAATCAGGAGCATCAAAAAGAAATGGAACCCTGGAACTCGAGTGAGTAACTTAAACACGGACCTTTTGCAGCTGCTGCTGATTACCACAAACCCAGATCTCTCCCTGAAGCAAGGCATTAAGATGAGCGGACTTATCTTGGGGATTGTGGAGAGAGCCATTAGGCCGTGGTGCCTTCGTAATTTTAATATTTAATTGAGATGCTTAATCTCAGAATATGAGTGACAGTCGTTGCTTTTGAACAGGCTTGTTTTAATCTTGGTGTATTTGTTGATTTAAAAATGGGATAGACTGAAAATTATTATACTAACTTGTTTCTGTATTTTTGCTTTAAGTGAAACTTGTGAATTGAACTATAAGTGAAAATGGTACTGACATTATGGATTTTTCTATCCAAATATTTAAAGTAATTATATGCAAACCTGATTTTAAAGCATTTTCATCTTGTTTTATCTCTTTTTTAAAAAGCACTGCCAGTGAAAGATGTAAAAGAAAAACCTGAACAACAGATCGGAACAAAAGAGACTGACAAAGTACCCGACAGTATCGGACCTCGACAAAACCAAAGTGCCTTATTTGCTAGAGGAAATAGGAAAGCAGTCAAAAGTCCTCAAAGATCCTCAAGTAAAATAAAAGAAAATAAACATCCATTTGCTCTTTATGGGTGGGGAGAAAAACAGACAGATACAGGAAGCCAAAAAACACACAATGTCTGTGCTTCTGCCCCAGTGCATGAGGTGGGTTCGTATGCAACCTGTTCTCTGCTGTCCCTGGTAGGGTGGGATTGGGCTGCGTTCCTGTCACTGGGTATCATATCCTGTGTCACTGGGAAACTTTGAGGTTGTGGTAGATCTTGGGGGATTTTAGGTGGACCAAGGGAAGCCCAGAACTGGGCATCTGGTTAGCAAACAGGAGGATTCTGGATGTTGGCTGCCTGGAGATCAAGGGGTTTTGCTGGGAGTTAGCTGGTACATACATGGAAGGGTTTACCAACAGAGAGCCAGGTGAAGGAGTAGATGGAGTCAGGGTTCTCGAGTTCCTGGGGGGCCAGGAGGTGCACAGGAGGGGCACAACCAGGGCTGGCAGCTGCCCATCTAGATTTGCTGTGGGCCTCTTGAGAGGTTTCCAGTTCCTTTGGCTTTGATAACTGGTGTTTCCTTGACTCCTTTGTTATTGGTTGGTCATTAGACTGCTTCTCCTGTAGTTCTTGATATCTACCATGGACTTCCTTTTGCTCTCCGGATTAAATTCGAATGAATATGTTTTCCCCTGCTCATCCATAGTGGTGGCTTTTACTCCCAGGAGTTTCAGTTGTCCCCTGAGTTAGCCCTGGCTGGTCCCTGTGCAAAGTCCTTAGAACATGTCAGACAGGAGGGTCCTCATGTAGAGCCAAAAAACAATTATGTATGTTAGCGCTAATACTATTACTATAGCCTGAAGCAAAGAGGGAATGAAAAGAAGGAGAAAGTGCAAACTGGTTGAATTCTGGTTAAATACCATAATCAAATTTTTACTGAACAAACTTCTGAACCCTAGCAGATGGTGTTATTTGGAGTGATATTTGAGACAACAAAGCTGTAGTTTAACAAAAGACCTCTGGCAACGCCATGGGATTAAGTTTAACAGGGTTCATCTGTGGTGTGAAACGTCTAGGTAGTAAAATCCCTTGAGATTGTTCTTTTAGTAATTTGCTGTAAAACATTTAAAGTCCTTTAATGGAATACTTATCCATGCTTTAATACTAAGCAGATCCAGTAATTTTCCACAGCCAATTTCTAGAGGCACATGCAAATTAGTCGCTTAACATTTATAGCTGAAATTTAGTCCGTGGACATTTTCTGTTGCTTTGTTTCTTTATCACTGATGGTGGTAAACCACAGAATCCAGGGGGAATGGCTTTTCTAGAGAAGCTTTTATACACAGAAGAACTGAATATTATGAGGTTGGGCCTGCTTCTGCCTTGCTGCAGGTGACCTGGAAGTAGTATCCACATTGCAAATATTCTTGAAAATTAGAACAAAAGCCACTTAAGTTATACTTTTATTTTTTAACTCTCCTTAGATTCACGAATCAGCATTACGAGCCAAGAACAGAAGACAGGTGGAAAAAAGGAAACTGGTTGCTCAAAGGCAGCGTGCTCACTCTGTGGATGTGGAGAAGAACAGAAAGATAAAGGCTTCTTCCTCAGAGAATCCATGGATGACAGAATATATGAGATGCTATTCGGCAAGAGCCTAAAGGAAGAAACGGTTGCTTGGACAGCCTCTCTTAAAAAGTGCAAATGAAAGAAAGAAAAAACAGAGCAAAAACTATCAAAAGAAATCGGATGCAGGTTTAAGAAACAAAGTGATTATGCAAGGTTTTTCCTAGGGAATTTCTAAAAGATTGTTCTATTTTGATGAATCTTGGTCACCTACCTCAGCAGTAGGGCGACAGCTGAAGCCATAGACATTTGGTTATTTATGAAGATAATTCCCTAAATCTTTGATATTCTTATAAGGGTTTTGTTTTAAAGCATCTTAATCTTTTAAGATACTGACACCAAATGCCTTTAAGTGGCTATAGATGCTTAATATTCAGTCTTCTTTTCGTAAGTTTAGGTGGAGCCAATTTTCATCCTGTTCTGAATAACTTTTCAGATTCCATAGTGAGGAAGAGCATTCCAACTTGCAGCAGCAGACTCATTTTCTGTATGTGGTTTTCTTTGTGAAAGAATATCAAGTCAAAAGTGAGTTTCGACGTTAATCTTGATTCCGTGTATAGTGACACTAGACCTTTGGTAGTTCCTGAAAGATTAAACTTACTGTGTTTTGGTTCAGCACCACTTCATGTAGACTAACATTTAAGAATTATCTGGGCTGGGTGAGGGTCATCTTGTTAAATGACCATCTGGGCACTTAAGAGTTTAATAGTTGAAATGCATTCCGATAAATGAAGTGCCAGTGCAGTGTGTTTAGAGTAGTACTGAAGTTTCTTTTGAGTCAAAGACTCACTTTTTTTATTGTGAGGTATTTTTTAGAACACATGGGGTATCAGTCACTGGCTGCAGTCTGGCCTTTTGGTGCATACCCACTGTGGACTTTTGCCTCTTCTATAGTAGTTGGCAATGACATTTAGAACTTAAAATCTGAAATTCCATTTAATAAAATTGAGATTGTCTTGCTTACTGTGGATGGGGGACAAATATTAAGATACCCATTAGAGATGTGGCCTACCCTTAATTTCTCTACTTTTTCCTTTACAGAACTAAGAACAAAGCCTTGATGATGTACATTATTCAGACTTTTGGTTGAAATACATTATTCCTAGATTCCCAGCCAGTAGCTCTTATATAGAACTTAATGAGAGAGAATGGTGGTGTGTGTATAGGCACAAATGTAATTCTGTAAATGAAGTGCTCATTCTATTTAGTGCATTTGCTTTTGGGGTAGAAAAATGGTTTAAGCATCACTGGTTTCCATCCAGCAGAGAAAGGAATATCCAGGAAGATGAGTGCTAAGTTCTCTGTAAGAGAGAAGGTGGTACTTTGCCGATTCCAACCTAGCCCTGGAGATACGTGAGTGAAAATTTGGTCTTTGATGTGAGGTTGAGCGTTTCCTTGATATTTTTACTCTGGGTCTTTGAAGTATTATGGTCAATTTTTAGAACACAAATATGTTTTATTCCAAATAAAATCTTTACACAGTGTCATCTTAAAACTGTATTAAGCTTTGAAAACATCCTGAAGAACCATGAGCTTTCTCTGTTTTTTAAAAAAGACTTTTTAAATATTTTGCATCATTTTGAGGTGAATTGTCTTACATAGAGAGCTCTCCTAACCATTCAGATGTATATTTAATAAGAGGCAGTTCTATGTGTTGTCCAAAACAACCTTGCTAGTAATTCTGGTGAATTTTGCTGTTATTAAAGTCCTTAAACATCGCAGGTACCTAAAGATCAAATTACTGTGGCATCGTGATTGTGTAGCTGATTGTGAAAACAGTTCCTTTAGAGCCACTTCTTGCATGTTCAGTTTTAACCATCCAGCTCAAGCGATCGTGTTGCATCTGACAATCTTAGGGAAGATAGCCTTGGGGAGTAGGTTGGGCCCCAGACCAATGGACTGCCTTAGAAACCCGACCTCCTCTAGGCTTTGAAGGAGCCAGACTTTCTCTCTAGAAAACAGACTTATATTTAATGTGCTTACTACGGAAAATTCCAGGTGGAGATAAAACCTAGAAGGCAATATTGACCAATTTTCCCCCTTTTTAAGTAGAGGACAAATGAACTGGGTTTTAAAGTACCCTTATGTGCATGAATGACGGGTGAATCAACAGGAAGTAAGCCCTCTTCTTATGTCCGCGTCATTAGTCAGCTAAGTTTTCTTTTCTTTTTTTCTCTTTAGGGATGAAAATTACCTTTTGAGCCTATGAAATTTTTTAAGTTGTAACAATTTGATGGTTTTACCTTTTCCTTCTCATTCTGGAAACTAATGTGGTTGTAATCATGTTCCTAATTCTTGGGACAACTTGCAGGACAGCAAGATAGTTTAAAATTACCTTTCACGTTGAAAAGTTTGAAACTGTTTGAGAATCCAGTGATATTTAAATATAGAATAAAATACTTACTATATAAGACTGTCTTTTTAAAATTTTGGTTTTAAGTTCTTAATTAAAACAATTTGTCATACACATGTTTTCTGTATTGCTTTTATTGAAAGCAGTAATAGAATATTGAATAACATCTAGCCCTCTGCTGGACCAAGGTGAAGGAGAAAAAAACAGGAATCTATTCTTTTTTTTTGAAACCTAAAGACTGTTCTTAATTAGGAGGCATCAGAATACTTGGTACCTCTGGTTATATGTATACTGCCCCACTGCCATAAAATCTCTCAGCACATAGATACATTTCTTAAGTTTACTAAAAGTATAATAGGGTATAGGTTATCTTAATTGCTCATAATGTGGCAGACATATTTATGGGACTTCATATGTAATAGCTTTGTCATTGTTTCATCAAATGTCAATTGCTAGTAATTTGAAAGGTGTGTGTGCTAGGTCACTCAAACTCAGCTAACTAAATTGCACGAAAGAAAGGTGGCTGTTGAGTTATTGGAAGTCAACTTCCGAAACAGAATTCTGCACAATTGGCAGGTTTAAAAAAAATCTTTAGTGTATTCCTTTCCTCCTCTAACTTGACAATGCTATACTGGGCATAAACTTTATAAATGGAATGTTATAGTACTTGATATTTAAAATGTTCAGAAGTGTTACTGGCAAAGAGGGAGAGAGGCAGAGCATATGTTAGAAGTAAAAACAACTTTTCTTGTTGGCTGCTTCAGTAAAAAATAGTTTAGTGGATAGTTTTACATTTCACTGGACTAGATAAAAACGGTGCTAATATTTATATAGCCTGAGTCTGTAGTTGGTTTGGTATCAGACTGCTAATGCCTGACTCATAAGGTCCTGTGATCAGTTAAATAATATTTAAAAAGTGATCCTAAAAATGTGACCTTGTCATTTCAAAATGTTTGCATCTGAAATGGATTTCTGTACAATAGGACGCATGGGGAGTTATGTCGTGGAAGTGTATGCTTAATACCAAATTCTATTGAAGGGGCTATTGTCTAAATTTTTGGCCCAGATTTGGTCCCTTCGAGCCTGCTAGTATGAGATGGGAAAAAGTTGCTCCTTTAATACTTACTTCCATTTTGAAAGTCAGGACACCTGAATGAAGATATTAGAAGCCTCTTTTTAAATTTCTTTTATAATTAGCAAAATTGTATTTAAGAAGAGTCTTCCCATATTATAAGTTTATTTTGAGTATTGCATTCACTTTAATATACTGAAGGAACAAAGGCTGGGCACTTATAATCACAAAGCTCAGGCAATGGGAATTTTGGGTTGTATTTTCTAAAAGCTATGTATTGCTTTTAGCTTATATTTAATATTGCAGTTACTTGGAAAAATGTGAGTAAAGTTAATTAATATTACAGGCTGAAACTTCTGTTTTGTGGGAAACAATTCTGATTAGTACATCAATGGTTGAAGAAAACATATGATCACACTGACTCCTAAATGGATCTTTCATTAAATGTTTAGCAAGATACATTAGGTACATTCAGCAAAAGATACTTTCTGTATATATACTTTCAGTTGAACTATAACATTTTCCCAGTCATTTCCGTCACACCTTCCTATTGTTTTGAAAATTACAAAAGTAATAGTGCATGGTTAAAATAATTCAGAAAGAGGTATGAAAAGTGAAAGTTTCTTTCAATACCATCCCCTCACCAAAATTCTCCACCCCTCTTAGAGGATACCAGTGTTAAGTTTGTTGTGTAAACTTCCAGACCTTTTTTTCTAAGCACTTTTCTGTGGAGGTACATAGACACATTTTTTTTTTTTTTTCAAAAATATAGAATAACACTATACACATTCTATAACTTTTTTTCACTTAATATCTTAGGGAAGGTTCGAGTTCCAGGTCAGATGGAGTTGACACACACCCTCCTTTTGTTCTCACTGAACACAACTATAAAACCTGGGTAGAACATATGGCCTGGCTATTGGAGGACTCAGAAGTAAACAGCAACACACAGAGTGGGGAGGAACACCAGAATTCTAAGTATAACTGAAGTGGTGAGTTTACCATTTTTTTATTCCTCTGGTATCTCCCGGCCTGAACACAACATGGCCCCACATGCAGAAGTGAGCAGTGGTACACAGATCCTAGAGAAGCCTGGCTTGAGGAACAGGAAAGGAATGGCTGAAACAGAGAGAATGAGGGAAATGCCTTTTGTTTCCTCTCTTTTCATTTTTCATGCTGGAGCCCCCAGGTAATCCCCTGGCTGCCAATGGGAGCCTGCAGGAGCCAAGAGTCTGAGGGAGGAGGGCTTAATCTCCATTTGGTAGAGCTGAGGCACCAAGAGGGTGAGGCTGAGTCTGTGTGCTTTTTTCATCTCTGAAGGACAGGCCTCAGTTACAGAAATGGGCAGTTTCAGGCTGGTGGGCCAAACAAGGGAGCCCCAAGGAACCAGAAAGTACTGGTGAGACAGCAGAGAGGGAAGAGCTCAAGGAAGTAGTTCCACAAAGTTATTGAACTCTGGCTCACCCTTGACTTGTGCACCTCACTCACACTGTTTACCTGTGGAGCTGATCCTAATTAGCATACCAAACACTTGTGAGATCTGAGCTGACAGACCCCTCCTGGGATCTCAGCCTGACCGCAAGATGGTGTATACATAGGCCAGGTCCCAAAAGCACTGCAGAGGCTTTGAAAACTGAACTGACATTGGAACCAACACCCGGAGAACTCGTGGCCTGAACCTGACCAGATCGATTATTAAAACAAAAATATCAACATTCTCCAGGGGATTTGCTTCATCTTATCACGTAATATTCACAATGTCTAGCATACAATCCCAAATTACTCAGCATATGAAGAATCATGAAAATAGCTCTGATGGAAAAAGACAATCAACAGATGCCATTATAGACTTTAAGGAAGCTATTATTAAAAACTTCAACTGAGCAATCACACACACTCTCAAAATAAGTATCAAAATAGAAATTGTCAGTAAAGAAATAGAAGAACCACATGAAAATATTAGAATTGAAAAATACCATAACTGAAATTAAAAAACCCTCACTGGATAGACTCAATAGCAGAATGGAGAGGAGGAAAGCTCTAGATCGGCACAAATCATCCAATCTAAACAACAGAGAAGAAGGAAAAAAGAGTTTCAGGGTCACATCATAGGAGTCACAGAATGATAAAAGAGTGTAGTGCTTTAAAAACACCTGCAGAAATGATGGCTAAAAACTTCCCAAATCAAGCTGAGTGAACCCCAAGGATAAACCCAAAGAGATCCTAGCCCGGATACATCATAAAATGTTGAAAACTAAAAGATATCTTGAAAGCAGCCAGAGAAAAATGAAAGATTGCCTATAGGGGAACAATTCAAGTGACAGTGAATTTTTTCATCAGAAATTGTGGAGGCCAGAACGAAGTGGCATATTTGTTAAAGTGCTGAAAGAAAATAAATGTCAACTCAGAATTCTATAACCAGTGAAATATCCCTCAGGAATGAAGGTGAAATAAAGAACATTCTCAGATAAAGGAAAACTAAGAGAATTGATAGCCAGCAGACCTGCTTTAAAGGAACAGCTAAAGGATGTTCTTCAGAAAGTAGAGAAATAATACCAAAAGGAAACTTGGAACATTGGGAATGAAGAAAAAGCAAGTTATAGTATTTGGTCTTTGGTCCTTGGTTCCTGAAATGGTTCCAGAGCCATAAAGGCAAAAGGAGTGTTTTATTTATAACAAGCCCCTTTGAACCACATCTGAGTTTGTTAATGAGGTGACTTTGGAAAGCCCCTAAGGATAGGGGCTGGTTGCCAGGGGAACCACCCTTGAGATCAGAGGGCTGAAATTTTCAGTCTCTTCCCACCCCAGTTTCTGACCTCTGGGGCAGGGAGAGGGGCTGGAGATTGAGTTCGATCACCAGTGGCCAATGGCTTTCATCAATCATGCCTACATAGTGAAGCCTCCATAAAAACTCAAAAGGATGGGGTTCAGAGAACTTCAGGTTGGTGAACACATGGAAATGTAGGGAGAGTGCTGCGCCCAGGGAGCAAGAAAACTCCACACTTCTTCCCACATACATCTACCCTATACCTCTCTTCCATCTGGCTATTCCTGAGTTACATCCTTTTATAATAAACTGGTAATCTAGTAAGTAAACTGTTTTTCTGATTTCTGTGAGCTGCTCTAGCAATTAATAGAACCCAAGGAGGGGATCATGGGAACCTCAAATTTATAGCTGGACAGTCAGAAGCACAGGTAACAGCAGGACTTGCGACTGGCAGCTGAAGTGGGGAGAGGGAGCAGTCTTTTGGGACTGAGCCCTTAACCTGTGGGATTTGATGCTAACTAGGTAGACTGTCAGAATTGAGTTGAATTGTAGGACACCTAGCTGGTATCATGGAATTGCTTGACGTGTGGAATACCCATACATCTGGTGTTAGAAGTGAAGTAGTATTGTAATAGAGTGTTGAGAGTAGAGGAGACACACAAGGGGAGTGAGTTTCTCCTCAGAACCTAAGATCGGAGCTTCAAAATATATGAGCTTCTGTGCTAACAGTGCTCTTGTGAACATGGTGAATGGTCCTAAAACCTGGTGGACTTCTATAACAAGTATGGCAAGCATCATCCCTACCAAATGACAGAATGCAAGAAGAACAAGCTTCTCTGAATGCCCAGGGAAAGCAGCATTATGACAGGAAACAGAGTGGCGATGATGGACAGACTAAACTGATCTTCCAGAAAAAGGCTAAACTGCAAAGAAGATTGGGCTAAGGGACCAGGTATGAAGGAAAATCTGACAGAATTGAAAGGAGAACTACACAAATTTACAATCACAGTTGGAGACTTCAACACTTCTATCAGTAATAGAACTGGCAGACAGAAAATAGTGAAAATACAGAAGAGCTAAAGAACATAGTTAATCAAATAACTTTAACTGACATTCACAGAACACTCCGCCCAGCGGCAGCAGAAGAGCACATGTTTTCACGTGCCCATGAAACGTTAATCAAAACAGCCCATCTCCCAGTTTATAAAATAAACATTAACAAACGAAAAACAATTGAAATCATACAGGGCATGTTTCTGGCTATAATGGAATTAAACTAGAAAAAAGTCTCAAGAGAAATTAGGAAATATTTTAAACGGAAGAAAAAAATTACAACATAGCAAAATTTGCGGGCACAGCTGAAGCAAGGCTTAGAAGAAAACTTATAGCTTCGAGGGCTTATATTAGGAAGGAAGGTCTCAGATCAATAATCTAAGCTTCCATGTTAAGAAACTAGAAAAGGGTGAGCAAAATAAACCCACATCTAGAAGAATGAAGAAAAAAAATAAAGAGCAGAATCAATGACACTGAAAACAAAAACAGAAAACAAATGTGGCCAAAAGCTGGTTCTTTGAAAAGATCAATAAAATAGACAAACCTCTAGAAAGCCTGACAAAAGAGAAAAAGTTATATACATACATAAAATCAGGAATAAAATGTGGTTATTTTATTTTCATTTCAATGAGTATTAGTGAGATTAGCATCTTTTTCATGTTTATCAATCATCTATTTCTTTGATGAATGGCCTATTTATGTGCTTTCCCAACCTTTTAAAATTATTTTGGAAAAACGAGAAAAGCACGCTGCCTTTTATTTTAGCGGCTTTCTGTCTAACTTGTTAAGATCTCTATGTATCTGGTACCAATCTTCTGTTAACTATATCGCAAATGAGTGGTCATAGCCCATTACTAAACTTTATGCTTTCTTTTGTCTTAGAGAAAATATTAATTTGCAGAATCAAATTTCAAACCCTTCTTTACAGATGGAGGATTCTGTGTCACCTTTAGAAAGATTTACTCTTCGATCATAAAAACAAATTCTACATGTTCTTCCAATGCCTTAAAAAAAATCTTGCCTTTTGCTTTTAGATCTTTATTCCAACCAGAATTAATTTTTTAGTGAATATGAAGTAGAGATCAACCCTTTATTTTCCCCAATTAAATGGGTAGTAAATGGACTTAACATTCAGTGAAGAGCCCTTACAGATATAAAATGGTCATGTCATATGTTTTTCATAAATTGCCACAGATACAAGGGATGGTTTCTAGATTCTCCTGTGGATCAATTTGTCTATACCTGAGTTCATAGCATTGTTTTAATTTTGCAGTATATTTTAGTTTCTGGTATGGTAAGTCTCCTAACCGCTACCTTGTTCTTTGCTTTTCTTGGCAATTTTCTTTTTAATATGAACTTGAGAATGAGCTTTTCAAATTCTATTTTAAAATTCCATTTGGCAGTTTTATTAAATTGCATTGAATTTACTAATTTTGAAGGACTTGCATCTTAATAACATTGAGTCTTTCTGTCCCCAAATATAGCATGTCTCCATTTAAGTTGGTCTTCTTATATTTATTGTAGTAGTTGCCATCAAAAAAGTCTTGCATATTTCTTGCTGGATTTTTCCCCCTTCTATCAAATTTTCTATATGGTTCTTGTATGTATAGGAAAGGGGCTAAACTGAAAGAAATGCTATTACTTTTTTGATAAATGAGGGAAGGAGAATGCAGGTGAAGACTGAGAGATTAACAATGCTGTCATTAATCAAATAGTTTGGAATTACACCAAAAGAACTAGAGAATTGGTAATGACATGATTGTTTACCAATAAGGAACTGGCTAAAGAAAACAGTATACCCACACAATGGAATATTATGGAGCCTTTAATAAGAAAGTTCTCAATGTATTAAGATATGCAGAGAGCTCCAAGATTTAGTATAGATGGAAAAAAGTGTATCTAATAAGTTACCTTTTGTTTAAGAAAAGGAAGAGTAATAAAAATATCTGTTATCTACATCAAGAAACTCTGGAAGGATGCACAAACTAACAAGTGGTTACCTGTAGTGGTAGGAAAAGGAATGGAGTGATGGCGAGGGAAGGAATCTCCTCTATTTACCTTTGGCTTTTGAACCATAAGAATGTATTCGCTATTAAAAAAAAAATCCTAGAGAAAACACAAAAACAAAAACTAAATACTACCCCCTCTTCAAAAATATGTCCTCCCCCTAAAGATTCTAAGCTATGTGACTTGTAAGCCAGGCTGGTATTAGAACCACCTGGGGGCCTCCATGGGCCCATCTGCTGCAGGCAAAGTCGAGGGCAGCCCAGCTGCCCGCCGCCTCCTGGTCCTGAACCGGGCTGGGAGGTTGTTTGAGCATTACCATATTTAGAACACTGAGATTTTTGCATAGTAAGGTATAAAGCCTGAATTTTCACTAAAAAGACTAACCTTCTCCAGGAATAAAATTTTAACATGAGGCTCTTAGACCAACAATAAAAGTAGCTGAAGCTTATCAAGTTTTTAAGAAGGACCAGGGCTTGCTTAAGTAGGCCAGGGCTATCCGCCTTTCCGCGTGTTCTGATTCGGACGCACGGAGTCTGCTCCTCTCCTCCAAGCAGGGACTGGTGTTCCGGGGATTCCCGTGGTGTATATTTTCTAACAGCAGTGCTCCAGTAGCCTGTGTGACTGCTGTCTGTAGAATCTTCCGGACTACCACAGTATTTACGGCAAAAGTTAAAATTTAATAAAGACAAAACATAAACTTCAATTAAAAAAAAGTGTGTGGATTTAAGTTTGGGCCTCCTGCTCTATTAGTGGGAGTGTTAATTGGCACAAGTTCTCTGGAGGGCAATCTGGCTTTCTGTATCTTAAAAGGAACATTTCTTTGACTTGGCAATTCCACTCCTAAGCATTTCCTGATATACCCACCCGTACAGATGTCCATGCCGAGGGAGTTCACAGCAGTGTGGCATACTGGGCAGACTGGCACAACCACACGGCCTGCCTCCGATAAGGAGCTAGACTTATGGGAGAGGAATAAGAAAAGCAAAGTGTGGAACAGTCTCGAAGCATACGGAAAACACAAGTGGAAGCACGTCTGCTCCCAGTGTGCTAACTGTGCTCATCTACACACAGGGTTTCACGAAGCTAACTGTGTGGCGGGAGGTGAGACAATGCCTGCTGCTTGGAATCTTGCTACGTGTGTATGGTTTCCATTTAAACTTAAAACACTGGCTGTGTTTACTATGAAAGATAGTCTGAAATAGCTGAGTGACTCCTTGTGAAAACTGACATTGCCATTAATTTTTCTTTGTTTCTGTGACTTAGGTGTTGACTAATACATGTGATGACTACCATATCAGTTTCTCTTTCACTATTTTATGACATGAGGATTTCAGGAGAACTGGGGAGTTCGTTCATCTCTGTGCTGCCTTCTGGTCACTGAGAGGAACCCTGGGGTGTTGGAACCACATCCTTGCTTCCTTCCACAAGCCCCCTTGGGTAACTCACCTCACTGGGGCCACTCAGGCTACCACCTCCTCCTTGGGCAGGGCACTGTAGCTTAGCTTAGCCCCGGGGGCCTTTGCCCCAGGCTCACTTGTGGATGATTCACGACACTCACCCTTCCTGTTTGCCTTCTGTGCTTTCTACACTGCCCACTGAACTAGACTTTTACTTTACACCCAGTGGAGTACTCTGCTGTGCAGTGTCACCCAATGACAGAACAGACCTGACAACTGGGTAAGAGAAGAACCCTATGAACAGGCACCAAACTTGGCCTAAAGTTGAGGCCACTAATGGGTCCCAAAATGTAACTACTTCCATTAAAAGTCTGAAGCAACAGGCTAGCGTTTAAAGCCAAAATTACTCCTGGAAATAGAGGAAAAGAGGATGGCCAGAGTAGAATAATCTGATAGTTACAGGTAAGTAAAAAAAATCCTGAGTAAGTAATGAAATTTTTCTTCTACTCTTGCTCACGGACTAAGTTAAACAAATAGAGATGAGAAACAGTGCAGGTAAGGGCTAGCCTGAGTCAACAGTTTATTGGCATACAGCAGAGGAATGTGGCCACAATAAACACATTAAATGTTGCCAGCGAGGGATGCAAACTCCAGTGTGTAAGGTGGAGAACAACCTCCCCACCGAGGGGAGGGCAACAGTCATCAGCACAGGCCTCACAGGCACGTTCGTACCTTTACAGAGAAACACTGAACTCACGCGCAACTTCAGTACCGGACAGCGTTAACCGCGAAGGACAAGGAGATTGTGACAAGCATTCTGAAGATCAGTTAGCATGCATTTCCAGTGATGTGCTTTAAATTTACATTTTCAATTTACTGAAGGCAGGGACAAAAAAGTAAGTTATCAAATTTGCAAGTTTTTTTAGTTAAAACTCAAAACATGGTTTCATGGTGATGAAATCAACTTTTATTCCCTACTGCTAACAGTTCAGCACTAAAGGTATTTTAAAAATGGAAAATACTATTACCAGTTAAAGTGAGAACTGTTTATAGTTTTTAAAATTCCAGTAAACATGTGGGTTTAAAATTTTCATAAGAAATTTTGAGAGAAAAAAGATTCCGGTCAACAGAAATCCCAGTGCCTTGCCCAACTGTGCAGGGCCTGCTGCTCACCTCGTAGGGGGACCAGCCTCAGGCGGTGCAATTCAGCCCCCAGTGGTGAGATGGGCCTAATATCTGCTCTGTACCACTGAAAAGGGTGGTTTTGAAGGCTAAATCAGATGTGAAATGTGAGAATACTTTTAAGTTGTAAAAAATGCTATGCCCCTTCAAGGTCTTATGATTATAGACATTTCAATTGACAGTATTAAAAATGTAGAGCTTATTAAATTAAAAACTTTTTAGTAATTTCTACAATAAAATTTTTTTTAAAGAAGAAAATAAAAGTGGGCATGAAATCCTGTACTTTGATCAGAGACACAGTGAACAACGAAGGAGCACTTGGCAACTGGGTTTCTCCATGCCCACGTCTAGTTCTCAAGGCTCAGATAGGGCTGAAGGTGGAAAGATCAGGTAAAAACACATAAAACCACCCAAATAGAAAACAAAATGTAAACGTTTCAGATGAAATCATTTAATCTTAAAATTACAGTAGGAAAACTATTGTTTGCTATTCCTCTACTGCTCCTTTGAAAGGGTGGCAGGTACTAAGTTTTCAAGATCTAACTACAGCTCTGGCTTCTGCTTCAACATGGGGATTTGTCAACTGTAGCAGAGTGGGTCTAAGTAACAGAATTGAGAGACCTGACACATTTCACCCCCAAGCATTTATGACCCATCATACATGATACGATACTTAGACAGCTGAGCATGCCTAGCCCACAGAGCAAAGGTTTACCAACAATTACATCCTCAATCCCTTCTCACAGCCCTTAAACCTAAAGCTCTGTTCTTACAGGGACAGAGCAGTGAAGATGCAGAACACAGCAGTCTGGACGCCTGCTTGCCCACAGGCTGTACTGAGGTACCGACTAAGAGTACACGGGGAGAACTTCCAAAAAATACTAATCCAAACAATGAAACCTGCAGCCTAAACCTTAAAGCTCTTACCCCTAGCATGTAAAATAAGACAACTGGGTAACTATGTACTGAAGTCAACATTCAGAAAGGGAGCAGGCTGCTCTAGGAGATAGGACTTTAGACAGTGTAATTATAATGTGTCTTGGAGAAGATAGTTTTGGATTAAAATTTTGGAGTGACCTATTAGTTTCATGAACTTGGATGTCCAGATGTCTTCCCAGGTTTGGACAGTTCTCAGCCATTATTTCTTTTCAATAAGCTTTTTCCTCTCTTCTCTTTCTGGGACTCCGTTGATTCATAGATTGTCTCTTAATAGTATCTCACATTCCATAGGCTTTCATCATTCCTTTCCATTCTTTTTTCTTTTTGTTTTTCTGACTGGATAATTTCAAATGATCTGTTTTGATTCTTTCTTCTGCTCAATCCACTCTGCTACTGAGGCTATCAAATTCTTCAGTTCAGTCATTGTATTTTTTCAGCTTCAAAATCTTAGTTCTTTTTTATATTTTCTCTGTTGAGCTTCTTCTTTTCTTCTTGTATTGTTTTCCTGATTTTGTTAAATTGCTTGTGTTCTCTTTAGCTCTCTGAGCATCTTTAGAACAATTATTTTGAATTTTTTATCGGGCAATTCCTGTATCTCCGTTTCTTTGGAGTTACTGGAAGTTTACTGTGTTCCTTTGGTGATGTCATGTTTCCCTGCTTCTTCATGATCCCTGTTGCCTTGTGTCTGCGCATTTGAAGCAGCAGTCCCCACTTCCAGACTTCATGGACTGACTTTGGTAAGGAAAAACCTTCACCTGTGGGTGGGGCATGCTGTGACCCCAGGACTAATAATGCAGGGTGCCAAGTGCAGGGGTATGTGGCGGCTCCAGGTCTGGGAGGAGCATGGTGTTTCATCAGTCCACAGTGGCTGCAAGGGCTATTGGGGTCCTCAATGGCACCTCCAGGTCCAGTGGCTAGAGACCACAGCAGGCAGCAGTGGTGGCCAAAGCTGATGGTATGCACATACTTGTCTGTGGAGACCAGCTGCAAGTGCCTGTGTAGTGGCAGGGGCTGGTCACAGACACATGCCTAGTAGTGGGGGCCAGGGCCAGCAACAAGGGCCTAGGCCAACTGCAGGCCCAGAGCAGCTGTGGGGCCCTTGCTGTTGGTGTGCTCTCCCATGGCTGCAGTCTCCCTACAAGTGCATGCATGAAAGTGGAAGCTAGTGATGGGGACAGGGCTGGGGACATGCAGGTGCACAGGTGGCGGGGCAGGCTGCAAGTCAGCCCAGTGGCACAGGCCAGTGATTGGAGACGGGACCTAATCTGGGCCCACAAGCAGGTTTGGGGGCCTTGGCTGTTAGTGTGCACTTCCACGGCTGTGGGACTGGCTGGAAATGAGAGTCAGGCTGGCAGCCTCCACGTGCATAGCTTGAGGGGCTAGCCACAAGTGCGCACGAGGCAATGGGGGTCAGCTCTGGGGGTTGTCTAGGCTGGCATGCGCTTGTGTAGCTGCAGAGGACTAGGCAGGCTGCAAGTGCAGATCCTGGGCTCTGCCAGGGTCAGGGAGGAATGAGGAGGGACTCAGATGGCTGGCACCTGAGAATGGGAATACCTGTGGGGCAAAAACTGGTTGAAATCTGCAGGGAGTCCACAGCAGCTGTGCTGGTCACTGATTTCTTCAGTGCTCAAAGCTGCTGTGGTCCTCTGCTGAGCAGATCAACGGGAACCGTGGTCACTCCCACTCTGTGGCTGATACTGGGAGCCCCTGCTCTTCTTCCTTGTTCCTAGCTGTCTCTGTATGTCTCAGCTTTGCTGGTCTCTGGATGGGGTGAAACCGAAGCAGGTCCCTCGTGTGGTGCACTGAAAAGGTGGTGGAAGCTGGCCGCTGCCCTGCTCTCCCCTTTCCTGGTGAGGGGAGCTCTTCCTGGCTGGGACGTTTCCTCTTGGTGCTGAGTGGCGCTGGCCTGGAGAATGGGAGGATGCAGCAAAATGAAGCTGTTTCCCTTCCCTTTTGTTGTGATTACTTTTGTTCCACTCTGCTGCTGAAGTTTCTTAGGTGGACACCCAAGCCCTCCCAGAGCTGTTTTTGTTTGTTGATAGCTGTCTAACTGTTGATCTTTGTGGGGGGATGAAGGCTGGGGTCTCCTACTTTGCCATCTTGGTGACATTACCTGAAAAAGGGCCCTAGGAGTTGAGAAACTCCCTCCTAGAAAGGAAGGAATTTAGCAGGATCACATGAACACCTTTTGGAGATTTTGCAAAAAGGAATCTTACAGTGGACAGGCTGGATATCCAGGTATTTTAGAAAGACTTGGGGACACAATAGACTCTGATCTGTCCTTTCCACAAGCACTGGAGTCCTTCCTATGTACCAGGCACACAGAAGACTGCCCTGTCCTAGGGAGGTCTTAGCCCAACAGAGAAGACAAAGAAGGACAATGTATTGATCAATGTGATCAATACCAAAAGAAAGCTTAGGACAGCAAATGACAGGAGCAGAGTGTGTCTGCATATATCCAGGGGTGGGAGGGGGTTCGAGAAGGCTCCCAGCAGAGACGTTCCATGTTGTACCCTACAGGACAACAGGGCTGCAGCCTGACAGAACCGGAGAGCCAGCAGGGTGCACCACAGGTGATGGAAACAGCAAAAGCACAAGGGCGATGAGAAAGCAAGGGACATTCAGAGAACAGCACGAGTGGCCTATAAAACACCATTTACCCCAGGAAATGGGTGCAGTACTAGGGCGTGCGGCCTACATGTATGACCACGGAAACCAACATGATGAGTTTTCTGGAAAAGAGAATGATGTGGTAGATTTGCCTAGAATTAATCATATTACCAAATTTCCTATTCAATGGAAAATGATTTGAGGGCTCCCTACCAAACATACAGAAATTAGCATTTGCTTTCATATATAGTTGGTCCTTAAATATTTAGTGAACATAATTATTTCCATGATATTTGGGAATGTAAAATATTCAGAAATTTAGCAAGTTTGTTTTCTTAACTCTAGTCTTCCTCAAAATGAAACTGACAGGTTACATCAAGAAGTTAGAGAAAGGAGCTGTCAGAGCACAGGCTTGTTTTTCATTCAGTCCCAGCAGAAGTTCAAGGACACTGTCCTCCAGCAGGAACAAGCAGGCTGAGGTGACTGCAAGATCATGATGTGGCTCAACCCACCTCGTACTTGGTTAGCCTAAGTCCCAGAGACGCATGTGTCAGAGTTAAATACATTTTTCGTCATGGGATATGGACAGGTTAAAATGATTTAAACTAAGTGTGCCCCACGTGGTTATACTGGCAGGGGTGACAGTGAAAACATGTAACCACCCGCACAGCAAGGGCACCAACCACACTGAAGTGGTGCTGGCTGTGGGTAGCAGGCAGCTGTCCTGGTGTCCCTGCTGAAGGTACAACTGTTCCCTGGGCCAGGGGACAGAACTACTGGTACAACTAGCCACATGATGGGAAATCACCTCTGAATAATACTGTATAGAAGACACACATTTTGCTTTTTCAATAAATGCCAGAAAACCTACTTTATATAATTGCAAGGTAAGAAAAAACATAACCATTCTTGGCTTTGTAACAGTATCTTTTAAGAATTTACCAGAGGGACAGTGACTATATAAAATTAAAAACTACAGATTCTTGTCAGAGACGTATAGTAAACAATTTTGGGGAAAATGATAATGTCTTGGATGTTTCCAAATACTCCAGCATAAAGAAAGTGGAGTGAAGGTAGACAGAACAGGACTGGCAAAATGTAGACAACTGTTGAATCTTGCTGATATAGTGGTTCATTATGCTATTTTTTCCATACTTGTGTATGTTTGCAAACCGCCATAATAAAAAATTGAAAAGAACATAAATGTATTTTAAAAGAAAAAACAAAGATCCCCTGATTAAATTATTTTCTAGCAGTAAGCAGTATTTTCTAACCTTAGAGGGTGATGGCTGACAACTTAGTCACTCGTCTTCCTGAAACTGGTAAGTCAAGTGTTCTCAGATAAATTCCTCTAAAATTCTCAAAACAACTCCTTAAAGAAGTTAATAAAATCAGAAAGTAACTGAGCAACAGCTGAAACAAACCCAGATTGTACGGACAAGACAAGTGACTGACCAGTGAAGAGACTCACTTTATAAATGGCACAAAAAATTATTAAAAATTTACAGGTGTTTTTAAATCCCTCTAATTCTCCCCTCCAAAAAGAAAAAAAAGGACAAAACTGACAGAAAATGAAGAACCATCTACTATGTCATACTATGTAATTACAAATCATTTAAGTTTCTAATTTTAGCATCAGATTCTTCACTCTGAATATTGCTGATCTGTTAGGAATTAATGTTCTTAAAGATTTCAAAAACTCTTACGTAAGTCATAAGTAATATGTTTTCAAGGAAACCACTGCAGATTCCCAAATTCTGATGTTCTCATTTTCACTTAAATGCTGGACTGTGAAAGAATAAGTTACAATCTCAAGTCTGAATGGAGTTCAGAATCTTTTTCTGAGAAGACTGAAAAAATACTTTTCTAGAAATGTAAATTAAGTGTTCTAAAAACTGAAGCTGTGGGAAATGTATACATAACATTTGTTACTAGGCTGACCATGGTTTAGTAAAAGACACATTTAGTCTTCGTCCCTTCCTGGCTCAGAGCTCCTAAAAGCCTGGAAATTTCCTGACTGATAGAGTGTCTTTTGGTACTCATAAGGATCATAAGGAGCCCCTTTTGAGCACACAGGAGTTTATGCTAATGAGATGACTTAGGGTGGGGCCCCTGGAGCACCTCAGGATGGGGGAGGGGAGCTGGAGATTAAGCTCTATAAAAACTCTGAATGTAGATATTTGATGAGCTTCTGGACTGGTGAACAAGAACACATCTTTGTGCTGGGAGTTAGTACACCCCAAACTCCAAGGGACAGTAGCTCTGGCACTCGGGGCCCTTCCAGACCTGGCCATGCGTACCTTTTCATCTGGCTGATCACTGTATCCTTTGACATCCTTGGTAATTAGCCAGTAATCTAGTAACTAAATTGTTGTTCTTAGTTCTATGAGCGGCTCTAGCAAATTAATTGAACCCAAGGAGGGAGTCGTGGGAACGTCTGAATTACAGCAGGTTGGTCAGAAGCCAGGTAACAACCTGGACTTGCAATTGGCATCTGAAGTGTGTATGTGTGGGTTGGGGGAAAAAGGGGCAGACTAAGCCCTTAACCTGTGGGATCTGATGCTATTTCCAGGTGGACAGTGTTAGAAATGAATTGTAGGACACCCAGTTGCATCTGGAGAATCAGAGAATTGGGTGGTGGTGTTGGAAAACACTGATCATCACCTAATTATCTCCCCTCTTCATTTTCCCTAAAAGCCTTTAAGAACCACCATGGCTTGATTCTCCAGCAACTTTTATTGGTCGAAGGATGTGGAATGATATGCAGTACCTCTGGTTTAATTCACAGGCTCATTTATAAACCAACTTAACATTTATCTTATTTAAAAAATTCTTGCTTTTGAATAAACCGATGTGTTAGAATGGACATGCTTCTATCCCATGCAAAAAGCTGTTGGAAAATGAGCAGCCTGCAAAATTATCATACATGAGACACTGAATGAAAAATTCTTCCAGCGAGGTCCAAGAAGTAGCTCAGTCTGAGAATTTGCTTCATATTCTGACTTTCAAAATAAAATATTGAAGGCATAAAAAAAGCAAAGTTAAAATATCTAAAACAGATACATTCTGATATTTTTATCCAAGTCATTTCCCAGAGTGTGTAGTGCTGCTGTGCTCTGTTGATTAAAATAAAACAACAAAAGCAGTATAGGCAACTTCTAACTAAAAGGTAATAAAATTCACCAGTCTGCAGCTAAAAAGTCACAGTGGAAGAACACATAGAAGGTGAAGAATGCTTTTTAACCATTCAGCCTTAAATAATACTGCATTTCAACTTTAAAGAAAAGTTCTATATATTTTTTGCTTTGACATTTTAAAATATTAGAACAAGTCTTTGTAATACAATATATATTATACTTCAACATACCTTATGTGAATTAAAAACATGTCAACTTAACTTTAGTAAGGCATTAAGTATTCAGCAAAAGCTATACAGAAATTTCTTCATGAGTGGTATCCCTTTAATAGTAACTTGATTTAGTGGGTTTCCTTAAAACGAACACAAAACAAAAAGAGACTTAAAAAAGAGGCAGTGATGCTCTAACACTGAATCCCAGAAAAAGCACAGTAGCAAACAATGTGTTTTTTAGCAGGGAGATAGATAGGTCAGCAAATTGGGAACAGATGAGCAGCCCTAGGTTACACGGTCCGTCAAATTCACCAAGAGCTGAGAGTAGAATCCGCTGCCTAGTACATTCGGTTAAAAGTACTGGAATCCTTAGTGCTGATCATGGCGCCTAAAACAGAGCAGGTACTCAGGCTAGACTTCCTGAACTGACCTGGATGAAGATGCTTTAAATCAAGAGAGAGGTGGACAGTGTTCAAGTTCATGGAAAACTCCATTTGTGATTTTATTTTGGTATGTGAGTAACTACTAATCTAGTATTTCAAGTGTGGATCAGTAAACACCTTGTGGACTGTGGTAAAGAGAATTAAATAAGCACTGCACTGGCCGTCAATGCCAGAGTAGTTGAATATCAGGTCATAAATATAATCCACTCTGCAATATAACTGACATGATGATCAAAGCACACCTCACAATTGACAGATTTTAGTTCATATGATTAAAAAAAATAAAATATTAGACTGCATTTAGTACCACATTCTACCATATCATACATCAGATACCATGCTGTGGAGATGTACTGGGCTAGCGCATGTACAGTCCATGGTCAGGATTTATCTGAAGATGAAAGGGGAAATACGGAGAGAAAACTTTCACATACATGGATACATCTAATGGTGGTGTCCACTGACTTAGATTTAATATATGGTTTGCTGTGCCACATCTACTAGTTTGTGTAACATCCCAAATAATTTTTTTTGCACAAAGATCTACTTCTGTTTAAAGTAGAAAAAGACGGTGGTAAAAAAACTTCTTCTTCAAGCTCCAACAATTGTGTCCCAAATACCACTGTATGAACACCTAAAAAATATTAAGAACAATTTAGAAATATACATAACTATAAATATACAAACAAATATGACTTAAAGTCTCAAAGGGAATTAGTGAATACTCCCAACTTTTATTTAAACTAACCTACTGCTATTAGATAATGCTGACTACACATAAAAAGTCTATTATGGTAAATGAGAAAGAGGAAGCTTTAAAAAATTAAAATCCCCACTTGCAAATTTTATAAATGAGCCTTCTGTTTTAGCAACAGGCACATTCGTTTAGACTTCAATTAACCCAAGAAAGTTTCCTCATTGACATAAAGGCAGAAGGATCTCTATCTCAATCTCTCCCATCAGCTTTCTCTCAATCCCTTCCTTTCTTTCTGAGAAAGAACACAAAGATTTCCTATAGAGTTTCAATTCTTTCACGCAGAAATCTAACTTTTTTTTTAATAGGTTAAGTTAGGTTTAATCTACCATTTTGCTATGTTTTCTATTTGTCCTGTCTGATCTTTACTCCCCCTTTTTCTGCCGCCTTTTGGATTTTTAGATTGATTACGTGTTTATTCCATTTTAATTCCCATGTTGGCTTATCAGCCCAACCTCTTTGTCATGTTATTTTAGTGGTTGCTTTAGGATTTTCTTCTTATAAAGACTATTTTTTCGTGCAGTTTCAGGTTCACAGCACAATTGAGAGGAAAGTACACAGATTTCCCATATACCCTCTGGCCTCACACATGCACAGCTACTGCCCCCATTATCAACATCCCCCACCAGAGTGGTACTTTTGTTACAATTGATGAACCTACAATGACATCTTATAATCACCCAAAGTCCATTGTTTACGTTACAGTTCCCTCTTGGTGTTGTACATTGTATGGGTTTGGACAAATATATAATGTCATGTTATCCAATAGTATGGTATTATACAGAGTCTTTTCACTACCCTAAAAATCCTCTTTGCTCCATCTATTCATCCCTCCCATCCTCGACTCACTGATCTTTTTACTGTCTCCATTCCAGAATGTCATTTTTTGGAATCATACAATATGTAGCCTTTTCAGATTGCCTTCTTTCATTTAGTAATATGCATTGAAGGTTCCTTCATGTCTTTTTATGGCTTGATAGCTTTTTCTTTTTAATGCTGAATAATACTCCATTGTCTGGATGTACAACAGTTTATTTATCCAACTGCTGAAGGACATCTTGGTTTTTTCCAAGTTTTGGCAATTATAAATAAAGTTGCTATAAACATCCATGTGCAGGTTTTTGTGTGGACATAAGTTTTCAACTCCTTTGGGCTTATCAATACCAAGGAGTGAGACTGCTGGATGACATAGTAAGAATATGTTTAGCTTTGTAAGAAACTGCCCAACTGTTTTCCAAAGTGGCTGCACCATTTTGCGTCCCCACCAGCAATGAATCAGAGTTCCTACTGCTCCACATCCTTGCTCACATTTGGTGTGGTCAGAGTTTCGGATTTTGGCCATTTTAGTAGGTTTGCTGTAGTGGGATCTTATTTTAATTTGCATTTCCCTGATGACATATGATGTGGAGCGGCCTTTAAATGCTCATTGCCATCTGTGTATCTTCTTTGGTAAGGTGTCTGTTAAGGTCTTTGGCCCATTTTTAAACTGGGGTGTTCTCTTACTGTTGAGTTTTAAGAGTTCTGTGTATATTTTGGATAATAGTCCTTTATTAGAAATGTCTTTAGGAAATATTTTCTCCCAGTCTGTGGCTTGTCTTATTCTCTTGATGTTGTCTTTCACAGAGCTGAAGTTTTTAATTGTAATGCAGTCTAGCCTATCAATTATTTCATGGATCATGCCTTTGGTGTTGTATTTAAAGTCATCATCATACCCAAGGTCTCTAGGTTTTCTGCTATAGTATCTTGCAGGAGTTTTATAGTTTTATGTTTTACTTTAGGTCTATGATCCATTTTGAGTTAATTTTTGTGAAGGGTGTTAAGGTCTGTGTCTAGATTCATCTCTTTTTTTGCATCTGGATGGCCAGTTGTTCCAACACCATTTGCTGAACAGACTATCTTTGCTCTACTCTATTGCCTTTGCTCCTTTATCAAAGATTAGTTGACTATATTTATGACAGTGTATTTCTGGGCTCTCTATTCTGTTCCAGTCTATTTGTCTGTTCTTTCACATATCACACTGTCTTGACTACTGTAGCTTTATTGTGTCTTGATGTTGGGTAGTGACAGTCCTCCAACTTGTTCTTCTCCTTTAATATTGCATTGGCTATGGTCTTTTGCCACTCCAAATAAGCTTAGAATCAGCTTGGTTTTCCTCATATAGACTTTGTACATATTTTTTTAGCATTATATCTAAGTATTTCCTTTCTTTGGATGCTAATGTAAATAGTACTGTGTTTTTAATTTCAAATGGCACCTGTTCATTGCTGATATATAGAAAAGTGACTGATTTTTGTATATTAACCTTGTATCTTGCAACCTTATTATATAATAGGGTATTTAAAAGTCTGTGGATTCTTTTGGATGTTCTACATAGATAATCATGTCATCTGCAAAGATAGTTATTTCTTCCTTCCCAATCTGTATATCTTTTATTTCCTTTTCTTGTCTTACTGCATTAGGTAGAACTTCCAATATGACGTCGAAAAGGAGTTTTGAGAGGGGACATCCTTGCTTTGTACCAGATATTAGTGGTACAGCTACAAGTTTCTCACCATTAATTTTATGATTTTAGCAGGCTTTTTGCAGATATTCTTTATCAAGTTGAGAAAATTCCCCTCTGTTTCTAGTTTACTGAGAGTTTTCATCATGAATGGGTGTTGGATTTTGTCAAATGATTCTTCTCCATCTCTTCATACGATCATGTGATTTTTCTTCTTTAGCCTGTTCATGTGACAGATTACATTAATTGACTTTTGAATGCTGAACCAGTCTTGCATACATGGGATAAAGCCCACTTGGAAGTGGTATATAATTCTTTATATACATTGTTGGATTTGATCTGCTAATATTTTGTTGATGATTTTTGCATCTATATTCATAAGAGATATTGGTCTGTCGTTTCCTTTTCTTATAATGTTTCTATCTGGTTTTGGAATTAGGGTAATGCTGGCCTCACAGAATGAATTAGGAAATATTCCATCTGCTTCTCTCCTGTGAAAGACATTCTAGAAAACTGGTAAAATTTCTTCCTTAAATGTTTGGTAGGATTCACCAGTAAACCATACGGGCCTAGGGATTTCTGTTTTGGAAGGTTATTAATTATTGGTTTGATTTCATTAATAGATATAGGCCTATTCAGATTGTGTATTTCTTCTTGTGTGAATTTTGGCATCTATTCCATCTAGGTTATCAAATTTGTGGGCAGAGAGTTGTTCACAGTGCTCCTTTATTATTCTTTTAATATCCGTGGGATCTACAGTGATGTCCACTCTTTCATTTCTGATATTAGTGATTTGTGTCCCCTTTTTTCCTTAGTTGGCCTGGCTAGAGGCTTATCAATTTTATCGATCTCTTCAAAGAATCAGCTTTAATTTCACTGACTGCTTTCTGTTCTAATTCTTATTATTTCTTTTCTTCTGCCTACTTTGGATTTAATTTGCTCTTCTTTTTCTAGTTTCCTATGGTGGATACTTAGATGAGCGATTTTAGATCTTTCTTCTTTTCTAACGTATGTATTCAATGCTATACATTTCCCTCTAAGAACTGATTTCACTGCATCCCCCAAATTTTGCTAAGCTGTGTTTTGGTTTCATTTAGTTCAAAATATTTTTAAATTTCTCTTGAGATTTTTTCTTTGACCCATGTGTTACTTAGAAGTGTGTTGTTTAATCTTGGATTTTCCAGTTTTCTTTCTGTTATTGATTTCTAGTTTAATTCCATTGTGGTCTGAGGGCAGACACTGTATGATTTCTATTCTTTTAAATTTGTTAAGGTGTGTTTTACAGCCCAGAATGTGGTCTCTGTTAGTGAATGTTCTATGTGAGCTTGAGAAGAATGTGTATTCTACTGTTGCTGAGAATATCTAACTATTAATTAAGCAATCACCTCTCCTTTTCATAATGTAGCTGCAAAAAGCAATACCAACCTCTACAGTTAAGTATGCATGGAACTCTGGGTAGTGAACAGAGTACAAGGTCAAAAAGACAACAGAAATGATGCTGTGATGTGAGCACCCACCTGTGTGCTCCTGTGCTGCTTCTAACAACCACACTCCTGAGCATTTGGGGCCTGCGTGCGACGTGGCGACCGCAACTGTCTCAAGGCAGCATCTCCATACTGAATACCTGAGCCCATTCTTTCTGGGTCCAGCTCACCTGAGGACCAAGCAAGACTTCCTTTAAAAAAGCTTTTATGGTTTCTGTGTTCCCCAAAATATATTAAGTGAAAAAAGCAAAGTGCAGAACACTATGTATGTATGCCACTGTTTTGTTTTTTTTTAAGATTTTATTTTCCTTTTTCTCCCAAAAACAATACAAAGGGATGAAGTGTCACTCTTCCTGTTGAGACTCAGCCCTTCCATCTGGGCCCCTGACCCTCTTTCTGTCCTACTTCACCCAGCACTCTGTTTTCTCTCTGTCATCTCCTCTCCGATCCTTCTCTCCTTTACCTTCCACCTTTCCCTCTCTCTCAGCATTTACACATGCTAAAAGTTCTTCTATCACCAAAACCTCTTACTTTAAATTAACCCTTTGTGCCCTGCTGTACCAGTTTCCTCTTCCTCAAGAGGAGAGTCAAAACTCTGTGCTTTCTCACCTCCTATTTGTTTCTCAATTGCTGTCTTCTACCTTCATAATTCTAGAATTGTTCTGGATAAAGATGAATAATGACTTCCTATTGCCTATCCCAATGGATATTTTTTAACTCAGTTCTTAGTTTATGATACTTTTCTCTATTGCATTTGATAATGAACAATCCTTCAACTGAATTTTGGCTGACATGATATCCACTTTCCCTGGATCTCTTCATCCATCTCTGACCATCTCCTTCTTTCTCTCTTTCAGAGGCTCCTCCTTCTCTGTTCGCCCTTTAGTCTCCAGGGTTTTGCTCTTGATCACTGCTCTTCTCACTATCCACTGCTCTCTGGGTGATCACATTCCTTCCAGAGTTTCAACTACTCCTATATATTGATGGCTCCCAAATGTATACTGCCAGCCCAGATTTTCCCCAAACCTTACTAGATACCTCCATGTGTTTGTGCCAGTGGCAGTGCAAAGGGAACAGATCCAAAACATAATGATCTTTATTTCAGTGAACCTGCTTATCCTCTGGCTTAACACTGTCTCTTTACTGAGTTACTCAAGGGAGCCAGTTAGTTATCTTTGGCTCCTCCTCCCTTCCTGACTCCCTTCCTCACTCCCCACCCAAAATCAATTGCCCTGCCTTAATATTTAGCATGTGCTACTCCCACAGTATTTCTTAGATTCCTCTATATCTCTTCATCCCTACTTCTACATCCTTGTTAAAGCTTTAATCAGTCACCTTTTACCCAGATTACTCAAAAACATGTTAACTGGTATCCTGGCCGCCAGCGCTGTTCTTCCTTCAATCTGTCCTCAACATGGCCATCTACTTATATATCTCAAGTCACAACCTGACCACATCTCTCACTGCTAACCACCCTTGAATGGCTTCCCACTGTTACAGCAGTGGTTCTCAATCCTGGATGAATATTAGAATAATCATATGAGAGAGCTTTTAAAAATGCTGATGCCTAGGCCATACTACAGCCCAACTGATTCACCATCTCCAGACGTGGGGCCTGGGATTCAAATTTTCATGCATCCCAGGTGACTCTAGTGTACAGCCAGGGTTGTGACTCAGTAACCCACCAGATAATGTTCCAGACCCTTGACGGTCATCACTGGCCTGGCTGCTGCCTCTCTTCAACTTTCTCTCCTGCCATTCCCTACTGTAGTCTTTCTGTTCTAGTAACTTCAACTTTCCATCATTTTCTGCCAGTCTCAACTCATGCTGTCCCCTCTGCTGGACTAGCTTCCTCATTCCCTTGGCCGGCTCACCCGTCCTCATATTTTGAAAGACTGAGCTCAGTGGTCACCTCCTCTTGGAAGCCCTCCCTGACACCACTCCCCTGGTTCTGTAGGTTCCCCTCTTCTGTGTGACCCCAAGATCCTGCGTACCTGTCAATTACTGTATTAACCACATGATTTTATAATTATCTTTTAACTGTCTCCCACAAAAGACCGTTTCTTGAGGGTAAGGGCTGTGATCTACTCATTTTTGTATCCGAATACCTCACAAAGAATAGGCAAATAGATATCTGAATGAATCAATTCAAAGGTGAATGTCCACATAGAATTTTGGTTGATATTTAAATAAAAATCAACTTTAATAAATGACAACTACATAGTATTCTGTCACTGGGCTCTCACCTCAGCCACACGGACAAGACCTTTAAACCCATGAGTACAATTTTAGGTTGGCAGGTGTAGAGAGAATACTCTTTGACCACGTCACTGCTGGAAATATTAAAAAGTGACACTGTTGAGCTAGAGAGTAATAATATGCTAAGAAAAGTCTATTAATGGAAAGCCTTTTACCTGATTCAATTTTGTTAAGTATTTTTCTTGCACATTGTACAAAGGCCTCTTCTACATTCTCCCCTGTTAGTGCACTTGTTTCCAAAAACATCAGCTCTAAAATTGACATGAAACAAAATATGAAGCCATGTTTACAAGATGATCATAATCATTTAATTACTAACAGCTTGTTTTCTATTATCTTAGAATGGCAGGAGGAATGTAATTTATTACTTAAAACCATGTGTTTATGCAAATATAAAAGCAACAAATGTCAATGTAGTTTTTAAATGTTAGAAGAATTCTAACCTTTTCTGAAAAGTAACTAGTACCTTGTGCTAGCACTTAAGTCTGTTGCAGAGACTGAGTAATCACCAATGCTGGGTAAGAAGCAGGCTGGTTGAAAGGGCCCACTGTCGCTACAAGACCAAGCAGCCATTTCCTTCTCCAAATAATTTTCATGTCACCACAAATACAACCCACAGGTGTTTAAATTTTTGGGGGGGACAACACTGCAGTTTGTTATTTTGACGCTGAAGAGGTCTCAGATGAGTTAATACTCTTGCTATCCACCAGAGCAGTGACAAGCCCAGCAAGAGGCCTGTCTTCCGCGCTGCCGGCAGGCAAACCACAGCCTCTCCAGCTGCCTGTTCCCTTACTTTAAAAAGCAGGCTCATTTAAACGACACTTAAATTCTTTTTGAACTTTAACATTCTAAGCCTTTCTGTTTCTAAATAGCTTCTTTACAAAAATATAATGGCTTATCTTTTTCTCTCATGTTTATTTTCTTAGCAGAAAATCAGCCCGTTTGTAAGAGTATAATTTGGTAGTCCTAGAGTCCAACTGAAAATTGCTATTAGGATATTTTACTTCTTGATTGGTTCTAAAAATCAAAGTTATTTAAAATATCTGAATTCTTATCAGTCTGTTATCTATAAGCAACCATTAATTTTATGTGTCATTCCATGTATTCTATATGGAAATTCAGAGAATTTTCAAAGGCATCTATAACCAAATGACTAAATTTAATGTAAGTAAAGTAAAGCCAATAAGTTCAGTATTTCTTATACAGATTCCCTTTCTGTTTAGATCTAATATTTCACCAAGTTAGCTTCAAATTACGTTAAAAAAATGACATCATCTGATTAGGGCCTTTAAAAATTGTTATAAATTTCACTTTATAGTGAAATGAAAGAGAGACCTATAACATTCAAAGATCCTAAACTGGAAAGTCATTACAAATATTAATTAATTTGCTTTATCATTATAGTAACTTTTGTAGGCAGAATGCAAATAGTGAAAATATGCTAAATAAGTCTAAATTTATAGTAAAAACAATTGGAAGTTCCACATTTCCTAAATATAGTTTAATCTTAAAACTCCAGTAGATGTTTTAAAGTTGCTTTCAGCAATGTTATTACCCTCAATCTGCCATTTGAAAAGCAATAATAGGTAAAAGGTCACTTGCCATTTTCTTGAGCAAATCTGGAGGCTTCTAAGAAAGTAACTTCACGATCTGCATCCAGGTCCTTCTTGTTCCCACAGAGGATGATCACAATGTTCTGACTCGCTAGCATTCTGGCATCTGTTAACCAATTAGTAAGCGCATTGTAGGTTTCTCGGCTGCATAATATAAGATTGTGAAAATAATACATGTATTTTATAAAACTAGCAACTCTTTCCAGTCATTCACACTACTCACACTGCTTTTAAACATGTCAGGGTAATGCCAACAACCTTTAGGGTAACTCAGAAAATCTGAAAGCCCCAAGTATACACCATACCCACAGGGCTTGTTTCATTTTATTTCTAGGAAAATGAGACAGCAAGTCAGACATTTTGTTGTTTTTTGTTTGCCCAATCAGGGTGTAAAAGGAAAGAGAAGTTCCTTCCTTCATTGTACAAATACTCACTGAGCTCTTTCTTAGTATGTGCCACACTCTGCTAACAGCTAACTGCTGCCATTGAACAGAATCGGGCAATATGCTGGAACTTTGTTTTATAGGAAGTTATCACAGTGATTCTTTATAACGACTCTCTCACACAGACTCTGTCATTATCTCCCTTTTCCATGAGAAACCTGAGGCCCAGAGAGATTCATTAAGTTGCCCAAAGTCACCCAGCAGCAAGTGGCAGAGCCAGGACTTGACCAGGTCTGTCAGACCCCAGGACCAACTCTCAGACCTGCTGTTTTCAGCCCTCATATAGCTAAGGACAATTTCCTCTACTGGTACACTTTGACAGCCTTCTGACTTCACACTTGAGCAAGCCGAGCCTTTCACCACCTGGGGAAGTGCAGTTGGGCTGGGCCAGGAGCTGCCTGCTGCCTCGCCAGAGCACCTCATTCCCAACACAGATTGGGTGTGCGTCACAGCAGTAGGGTGACACCCTCTCACTGGACAAGTTCCTACCCAGAAAGAGCCCCCAGATGATACGGTTTAGATGGCACAATTCTAAGGTGGTGCTAGCAAACACTGAGATCAACACCGTCTGATGGGATTTCTGTGAGGACAGGAATGTGCTACAATCTGCACTGTCTAATACAGCAGCCACCAGCCGCATGTGGCTGCTGAGAACTTGAAATGGGGCAAGTGAGACCAAGGAACTGAATTTTTAATTTAACTGTGATATGTGGGTGATAGCTTCACACAGGACAGTGCACTCAGATCCTTATGATGTGCCAAGAGCTTTATATTAACCAATTTAACTGCCCAATAACCTCACGAGTATTACACAATCATCATTACTTTATATAACAGACAAGGAAACTAAAATCCAGACAGTGAGAGCACCTTGCCTGAGGATGTCACATGGCTGATAACCCAGAACTGGGATTGGACCCCAGGCCGTCTAAGCCCACAGCCTGTGCCCTCAACCTTGATCAATGTCAATTCCTTCTAATAATTTACCACACATAAAGCTTCACTAGGTGAACCTTAAGGAAAGTGTCAAAGTATCGTGTTAAAAAACAATGAAACACTGGGGATGCTGTATCTAAAACCTTACCAACATTTTTTTTTTTTTTGAGGAAGATTAGCCCTGAGCTAACTACTGCCACTCCTCCTCTTTTTGCTGAGGAAGCCTGGCCCTGAGCTAACATCCATGCCCATTTTCCTCTATTTTATACGTGGGATGCCTACCACAGCATGGCGTGCCAAGTGGTGCCATGTCCGCACCCAGGATCCGAACCGGTGAACCTCGGGCTGCTGAAGCGGAACGTGTGCACTTAACCGCTGCACCACTGGGCTGGCCCCACAACATATTTCTTTATGTGGTAAAGTAGTGGTAGGGGCTGCTTCAAAAATGTTTAAGACCCCAAATGAAAGGGCTGAGGGGCTTCCTGAGTCCCAGCCAGGCTGCCTGCCGGACACACAGCACACACTGCCCCAGATGCACCTGCACAGGACCGGCATCGGGAGCAGATCGCCCAGCTGCCCTCCCTGGGGTCTGCATTACCTGGTGATGTCATAGACGAGGAGAGCCCCTGCGGCACCTCTGTAATAGCTTCTTGTCACAGACCTGGAAGAGATACGCTGCTTTTACTTTCAACTAGCCAACACCCTTCAGTACTGAGCACCAGCTTCCCACGCAAAAGCACCCATTTTTGCTTTGTAAACCACAACACAGAAACAGATGTTGCTTTAAAAAGAAACAATTCAGAGATCTGAATATACTTATGAGGAGCTACTCTGTCTGAAACCATGTCACACGAACAATGGGGAGTCAATGGATGTCAAGCTGGGACCACTCTCCAACAGAACTGCAGCCAACTTTGAGAACTTCCTACGAGGGCGGAGGTGCCTTGGGGCAGACAGGAGCCATCACAAATGCCAGGGGGCACTAAGCGCTCAGCATCCGGCTCGGGTTCCTCTGCGGGTTCTCTCTTCCCCACTCGCCTATACAGCTGCCCGCCTTCTTCCTGGGGAAAAGGAAACTCCTCAGATGGGAGCACCCTCATCTTCCAACACGAATCCCCAGCCTCCATGCCCTGGACTCCCCTCCTGTCCTCCCCATCACTGACAAGGAGACTGTACTATCCCTTATCCCTTCTCCTATTCATGAGGATTTTTTCCTTCAGTAATATACTGTCTCCTCTGCATTACCAATCTCTGCCTCTTTGTCAGATTTTTCCCATTAGCAAAATAAAATTTGCTCTGGTGCCTCCATCTAAAAAAAACAAGACCACACGCCGCACAACCCTGTCAGCTACTATCCCGTTGTTGGCTCTTTCCTGCATCCCTATTTCTCAAGAGCCATCTTTACCAGACCCCTCCTTTTCATGTCCTCCAATGTGGCATCCACCTCTGCTGCACCACTGAAACAGCCTGTTAGGTCAGGCGAGCTTCACATATGTGAATCCAGTGGCATTCTCTGTCCTGTCCCTCTGCCTTGTTTTGCTACTCCAGAACCCGTTCCTCGTTCTGCCTCTGCAGGCCCATCTCCCCCTCCCCCCCACCCCCCCACCAGCTGCTGCTGCTTTTCCATCTCTGGAGCATCCTTCTGACTCTGCCCAGTCTGTACTGCAGTTCCCCAGGGCTGGGTCCTGGTTTCCCTTTTCAAATTTAATCCTCAGCACAGACTACATCTGTAAGATCCAACTGTTGCCCTAACATCTCCATGTGACTGCCTAATCCTAATGAACATGTCACACTAACATTTATAAGACAGAACTCTGGTTCCCACTCTCCAGGTCCACCTGGCTAGGGCCAGGTGGGACAACGGGACACATCACTACGTGTCTTGTTTGTACAGCCAGGAACCTGCATTCATCCTCCACTCCTCTTCTTCTCTCTCTCCATGTTTGAACCACAACATGTGAACCATCAGGTCCTATCTCACTAACTGAACATAACCTATATGTGCATGTCTTTGCATCTTCACCTGCACCATTCTAATCCACACCACCAGGCCTCTGCCTGGACCCCTGCAGTCCTACGGCTAGTGTCCCCACTGCCACACAGGCACCACTCACGTCCCTCTGTCCATTCTCCAGAGCAAATGAACCCTTCATCAAGGTCTACAAGGCCCAGTATGCTTAGGGGCTGGAGACTGAGCTCAATCACCAAAGGTCAAAGATCTAATCAACCATGCCTAAACACTGAAATCCCCATAAGAACCCATAAACAATGGGGCTCAGAGAGCTCCCCAGTTCATGAACACATGGAGGTGCTGGGAGGGTAGTGCAGCCAGAGAGGGTGTGGGAGCACAGGACTCGATTCCCAGACACCTTGTCCTGTGTCTCTTCCATTTGGCTGTTGCTGGGTTGTACCTTTCTATTAAATTGTTAACAGTTAATACAGTGCTTTCCTGAGTTCAGTGAGTTGTTCTGGAGAACTGTCGAACCTGGGAGAGGGGTCATAGGAACCCCCAAATTTGTATTCTGCTGGACAGAGTGAGGGTGGCCTAAATATCCCATTTGTGACTTGTGTCTTAAGTAGGGGCAGGCTAGTGGGATCAGACCCTTAACCTGTGGGGTCTGACGCTAACTCCAGAGTGAGAGAATTGAATTGAATTGTTGGGCACACAGTTGGTGTTGGAAACCTGGATAACTGGTGTGGAAAAACCCCACTCATTTGGTCAGAAAACAGACACCACAGAAACAAAGAGTGCCTACCTCTGGGGAAAAAACAAAACCGTGGAACTTGAAAAAGAAGCCAAAACCAATCATTATCACTCTGATGCTTCGAAAACGGCAGCTATTTTTTAAATTTACTTTTTAGCTCTTAAAACTCCAAAGGCAGGTATGCAGCTTGAAGCTTCCCCTTTTCACGTTTTGACCATGACCATAGAGGGGCACACACTTTAAGAAATGGCAGACAGGCGCCAGAGAAGGAGCGGATTGTCAGCTCCTCCCCAGGCAGCCTCCTGTATCAGGGGGAAGGCCTCTTTCCACGTATATTAAGAGGCAACTCTTTTCTATTTTAGCTGCAGCAGACATCTAGTTTCTAGAAAAAGAGGTACCTAAGAGTTCTCTTCAAGATCAACTAAATTACATCTATTTCTTAATTTATTTTACATTCTACACCACCATACTTTGACATATGGCTTCTTACATAAATTATTCAAATATACAAATTTAAGCATTTTTTGAGGTATTATATTTTTTTTCAAAAGTAATTTAACCCGAAGTAATACATGTATATAGCTTTAAACTAAAACACTGCTCAAAGGCTGGACGTGAACCCCCACTGTCTCCTGCCTCACTGGGCCATGTGAACCCTGGCCCCAGGCAAGGACTCTCCTTCAGGATCAGCTTTCTCCTTGGATTCATGAAGTCACTAAAGAACACATGTTGACCACCAACATGTTAGACATGATTCTGGGCTCTGGAGAAACAAAAAATACAACAATCCTTACTTTCATGGATCTGACAGCTCCATTCTTCTGGCATTTGTGTCCATATTTCTATAAAATGCTTATGAAAACACTGGACTATTAATTCCAGAGCTTCTTGCTTCCCTGCTTTGATAAGAATCTTCAGCTCACTTACTTCACAACCCCCCTTCCTGTCATTCTCCTAGTCAGGCAGCATCATCGCATAACAACACCTCATGACACTACCTTGTTCCTGCGGCTGGGGCCCCTGTTGGCTTCATCTTCCTCTTTCTGCATTTACTCCCTTGTACTGGTGAAGTATATCTTCCTGAAGTTTCTATGAACACATGAAAGATAACCTTTGTTTCCCTGCACACTTGCATATCTGAAGGTATTCTGATTTTACTCACATTTAATTGATAGTTTGGCTAATTTTAGAATTTTAGGTTAAAAAGAATTTTTCAGGCTGAGTTTTGAAGGCCTCCAAATGTTGCTGTTGAACGGTCCAATGCAATTCCCATTTCTAATCCTTTATATGTGACTGTTTTTTCCTCTTGGAATATTTTTGTTATCTTCATTTCATTCCTGGTGTTCTGAAATTTCACATGACATGCCCTGGTCTGGATTTTTCCCCACTCATTTGTCGTAAGCATAATATGGGCCAATAATTCTGGAATCTCATTGCTTCAGTGGAAAATTTTCTGTTTCCTCTGCTCTTCTCTCTTCTGGAACTCCTAAAAGTCAGGCATTGGACCGACTGGATTGATTCTTCATGTTGTCTCTCCCCTTTCAACTCAAGTTTCTTTTTTAACTTTCTGGAAGATCTCTACTCTATTTGCTATTTTGACTGCTCTTTTCCAAATATAATTTTGTTCTCATTACTTGAATATAATTTCTGCTCTTATTTCTGAAAAGACAGTAGTTTTAGTGTTTTTTTCCTATTCCCTCAAAGTTCCTATTTTCTTGATTTTGGGCTCGCTTTTATTTTAGAAACTTTCTTCAAATGCCTGGTGATCCTTGGTTGGTTATTTATATTCAACAGCAAAGAATGAAAAAATCTAAAGCAGCGCTTTACGTGTGGGCTGCAGGCTCACTGTGGGATGGCTGGACAGAGATTGGGGTTTTTATGGGGGGAAACCAAAATGGTAAACTCTTCAGGCATTTCCTTTGGGGCTACTCATTTTTCCATAGAGAAGAAGCATTTCTCCTGCCTGAGACATCACACCTGGCTGCCAGCAACCAGGGAGGAGGTGGGGGAAGTGGGTTAGATTTGCAGACAGTGAGGGCAGTCCTTGCCTCACTCCTGCGCTCTGCCCGGCCTATGGCCCTGGGTCTAGAGCCCGTTTCAACTCAGACACTGAACCCCCTCATCGTGTGTGTGTGTGTGTGCGCAAGCGTCTGCACACATGATATGAACACTTTAACCCCTCCCTTCCGTAGAGCCTGATCCTTCCAAATCCTGCCCTTTTCTGGGATTCAGAGGAAAACATGGCTTCCTGCTCACTGGCCTCCACCATTACAAGCACTTACGACATAGCATCCTCTGCTTTAAGTCAGTCATTACACCATCCACTCCCTATCTTTAATATTTTTTTGAAATCTCTCAATCATAATTATGCATTCTCCTTTTTTCAGTCTTTTTGAGTTAACGCTATTTCAGTTATTTTATAGTCATTGCAGTGTGGTTCTAGGGGTAAGAAGACATAAATGTCAGTATTGAATCCACTGTGATTAACCAGTGCTTCTTGAAGAATGATTGTGATTAAAAATGGTTATATTTTTTAAGGAATTAGTGAACATTTAAAATATAATACATATCTGACTTTAATTAAGTGAAATGCTTGCAGTGGGAGTGAGTTTTATTTAAATGAACTCTGAAACTGAATATCTGTTCTGTTTTGACTTCGTGTATCTGTTCAAAAAACACAACTAAAATATTAATCTACTTTCTTGCTTTAGTAGTTACAGAATATTAAACACGTAATCTTATCTGCAGTGCTCTGGGGTCGTCATTCTGAACATCAACTAGGACTGCAGTGTAACAGAAGTGTGGAGGAGAGAATATTTTGTTGAATGTACATCAACCATCAGAACATGCTCTAGTTAATGTAAAACAAAACAAAACCCCTAAAGAAGTTTTTGAAAACTCTCCTTTGAAAGTGAAATACAGAGAAAACTTATTTGTGCTATGACTTTGCCTTGATTTTAATCTAAAAGTTCACTGTAGAACACACCATGCCGCGTCCTGCTGAAGTGCTCGCTGGTTCCCAAGAAGAAGTTAGCCTCTAAATTAGGATGTATTCACTCCAAAGAGATTCTAATGTATTCTTTAGTAAATCGGTGCTGCATGGAGAAAAACTGACTTTTAGTTTGTCTTAAAGCTTCCAGAGGTAAACTTTCTGAAATCTATGTGGGGGAGGAGGGGCCTCACATATATTAAGAGAATATAACTGATCATTTCAAATCTGATTTTCAAATATTTTTATTAAGTTAGAGAAAAAGCTACCTGAATCGTTCTTGGCCTGCTGTATCCCATATCTGTAACTTTACATATTTACCACCAACATTTATTATCTTTGAACCAAATTCCACTCCTATTGTATGATTTGAGTCGTCTTTGACTGAAAAAGAAAAAGAACAAGATATTTAATTTTAGAACATTCAGCAAACAAGCTTACAGAGTTAAACAAGTAACACCAAAATCAAGGGTTAAGTCAATGGAAAAATGTCATTTACTTTAGCCATTCATTTCTCCAACAGTCAGTCGATAAGAAGCACTCAATGTTTTAAACAAAATACACACAGTTCCTATTCTCAAAGAGACAATAAAGCTTTTTCTCAAAACCCCTGAAACAAACCATACATTTTAAAGCCTGGGCTTGGAGATGGCCACACCAGAGGAGAACCACGTCCACCCACCCACTGTTAAGGTACTCAAAAATGGTGAGTAAATCCCTGGGCACCATCTTGAAGGACTTACTGCCCAGTGACAAATTGGCAACTCGGTCAACGTGAGGCGGTGATAGTTTCAACTACCTGAATGGGTAAATACTCTAAAGAAAGGAAAGGAAAGGAAAGGAAAAGCACTACAGCCCAAAAAGAAACTTGATGGACACCAAAGGTTAAGGGAAAAAGTGGAAAAGATAGAGTAAAAAAAAAAAATCAACCAACAAACATACCCCTAAACCGAAACCTCTATGCATATTATAGCTGTTCAATTTTCATGAATTTTAGTATTATGTGGCAATAATTTGTAATGAATTTCTTAGAGAAATCAATACTGTCTGTTTGAAAGGACAGACAGGCAGGCAAACTAAGTAGCGTGCTACCCCAACTGGAATAAGCTGTCTGTAAAAGAAAATTTCTGTGATGATGAAAGGATAAGCTAAAAACAAACATCGTGACTATAGAGTCCATTGACTGGCTTATACTTCATAACCACAGAACAGAATATAATAGTACTAGGAATCAGGGATGCCATTTGACAGCTGCACTTATCCCTCCTGGGGGGAACAGGACATGACAGGTTAACACTGACTACACCAGCCTGTCTCATGTCTGGGCAGTGCAGAACTGGTATGGATGCCCAACAGAAGTAAGCCACCGGGCAAATCTCAGAGTAAAAGCCTTCAAAGGCCAAGGGCATCCTGATTACAATATCGCTACAAGAGAAATAAAGTGAAGCCTTATTATATCATTACTGTAGATCACGCAGATTAACCAAACATGCCTCCCGGGCTCGGATGTGAAGAGTTAGGGGAGGACTGTGAGGGAGAATTCTCCACAGAGGAGAGGGACTGAGCGAGCTGGGTTCTCGGCCCAGCGTCTTCTGGGTGTTCTTTTCTGAGACGATACAATGCAAAACCTTGGCAACTTATAAAGAAACCTGGACCATGTAGTGAATGAATACCCGTTAAATTCAGCAAGGACTGGTTCTGTGACTAAACTATGCAGGCTCCATGTCACCAAACAGAGAGGTTCCAACAAGCTCTTGGTTGACAAAAATGGAAGTAGCAGAATACATTTCAAGAATTTTATTATTCAAAGCTCTTTGCCAAGACACCCTGTGCTGTCTCTTTCTCCATTTCACCCACCACAGAAGGTATCTCATGCATTCCTATTTAAGATGCTCTTCATTAAATGAAATTCTATTTTCGTGCCTTCACCTGACTGCTACTAAATAGACAAGTCATTCTCCACAATTCTTTCCATTACTAGAAAAGCACTGTTTATTTTAAGGGCCTTTCAAACCCTATAGTCTTTCACAATAGTTTGGAATAAAAAAAATTGAACCTTCCTTACCAAAACAGTGCAAGTCAGTAGCAAAAGATGAGTTCTGTGGTCAAAAGGCCTAGGCTAACCAATTACTAGGTGACCATCCCAAGAGCACGCACCAACTTCTCTAAACCTATTGGTTTACCTGTAAAATAGAATTGATGACAATAGCGGCCTTAACTAGAACACAAGGCCACTGAAGACCAAATGTTATTATTCCACCCAAAGTGTACTCCCAGGGCTTCTCGGATGACTCCCTGTCAGGAAATGGAATTCCTGTGATGTCTTCTATATCATCATATTGTATTTCAGTATCTGGAAAATGTTCAGCATGATTTACTACATACTGAACGATGAACCACTATAAAACTGAAATGCTAACTCAATAAAAACTCAACCATATTACTAAAAGTTTAATAACAAATTTTTAATGTTACTTTAAAATATTTTTAAACTACAACTTTTTTCCTGAAAAAAATATTTGGGAGTTTTGCTGTACACAAATCTGAGCCAGAGAACACTCTCAGAGGAAGACATGCATAAAACACTGACTATTTGAGGTCACTTACATTTTTTTTCAATAAACTGATGAAGTAAGCAAGACTTGCCAGTTCCTGCATTTCCAATGACCAAGAACTTAAACAAAAAATCTGAAAAACAAAAAGAGACTGTGAAAAATAACTTTAAAACAGGTGCTATGAATTTATTCTTAGACTATGATCATAAAAAGAAATATTAGTTTGTTAATATACCAGAAAAAAGAGGTAACAATATTTTGTGAAAATGACAAAAACATGTTAACTTACCTTTTCACCTTTTTGATATTTGGCTTACTAACTAAGTCAGCGTTTTTTCAAACACTCTTGGGACCATTTCCTGTGCTTTTGGAAATTTGAAAACTGCTCTTATAATGGATAAAATTTGTCCCTTTACTAGCCACTATTCAAAGAAATATGAATACGCAGTGATAAGCAAAAATAGCCTAGAAATTTCAAGTGTTTTCTGTACAAAAGAAAAAACCTAGTAGACTTATAGGTCTTGAGAAGTTCACTCTTTTCTTTTTTTTAAAAATAGGTCTAAGTTTCCCCTGCACGTGCAGGTTTTTGTGGTCTTGTTTCTATTCCCTCATCTGTAACCTGCAGCTCAAGCTGAGCGCCGGTCAGTGTTCCAAGTGTGAAATCCGTCTCCTTCAATGTAGAACAGAGCTCTTTGCATCTTCTTCACGGAGGGTAACATATTTAATTTGGGATATTATTTTCCATAAAATGGAAACAGAGGCTCTCCAGAACAGAATTTGTAACTTAGCATGACGGAGCATCAGTAGCCCCACAATGCCTTGGTGACCCATTTTGCTTTTTCTGTTAGCAAAGAACTTGAGGTCTGCTCAGCCTAGGAGCAGCAGAGCACCAATGCCCTCTCCCACCCCTCACACTCTGTTCCGGACCCACCACTGCTAAACCTCACGCTGCCAGACGTATTTTGTGGCCCTGAAGGCCCTGCTCTGTATTCCTGATTCCCTGTTTGCCCCCTCACACTCCTTTTCCAGACACACACCAAGCACTCTCTACCCTGGCTTCTTCTCTCCCCTAATTAAGCCCAAATAGTCTATTTCTTTATTGATGTTTGGTCTACCCCTGGTTTTTAAGAACTATATTCATCATCACTCAAAGATTAATTCTATTCAACCTCTCATGATTTTCAAATGGTTATAGGCAATTAAACTTACAGAACAGTGCTATTAGAATTGTCAGCATTTAAAAATACCAACAGGGGCTGGCCCAGTGGCACAGCAGTTAAGTTTGCATGTTCCGCTGTGGCGGCCCGGGGTTTGCTGGTTCGGATCCCAGGTGCAGACATGGCACCGCTTGGCAAGCCATGCTGTAGTGGGCGTCCCACATATAAAGTAGAGGAAGATGGGCACGGATGTGAGCTCGGGGCCAGTCTTCCTCAGCAAAAAGAGGAGGATTGGCAGCAGTTAGCTCAGGGCTAAACTTCCTCAAAAAAATAAATAAAATAAAAATACCAACAGTTTTATGTTTCTCATTGCATGTTTCAAAAGCATGCTCCATCCATGCTCATAGCAGCATTATTCACAGTAGCCAAAAGATGGAAGCAATCCAAGTATTCACTGATGGATAAACAGATAAACGAAATACGGTATTTACATATAACAGAATATTATTCAGCCTTAAAAAGGAAGGAAATTCTGACACATGCTACAACATGGATGAATCTTGAGGACATTATGCTGAATGAAATGAGCCAGTCACAAAAGGACGAATGCTGTATGATTCCACTTACATGAGATACCTAGAGTCACCAAACTCATAGAGACAGAAAGTAGAATGGTGGTTGCCAGGGGCTGGGGGGAGAGGAAATGGAGATTTATTGTTTAATGGATACGAGTATCAGTTTGGAAAAATTAAAAAGTTCTGGAGATGGATGGTGGTGATAGTTACCCAACAATGTGAATGTACTTAACACTAGTGAACTGTAGACTTAAAAATGGTTAAAATGACAAATCTTATGTATATTTTACCACACACACAAAAAATAAAACATGCCAAGTCTAATCAATGTCACTGAACAGCTTTTACAACCCAAGAAATTAAAGGGAAGATTGTTAAGATTTCCAGGTTAAAACGAAAATATTGGAATTTCTCAATCTTACTCAATACCCTCTTTATTGAAGAAATAAACCCAATACACCACATAAGTTGTAAACAGCAGAAGATGAGAACAGGAAAAGATGCTGCCAATATGTAGGCAATAGTAAATCTTGAGAGAGAAAAGAGATTGTGTATACACAAATTCAAATGTTTCTTTTATTTTATATGTAATAGAAAAATGAATTGCATAAATCCACGTACTCCTAGAATTTAAACTCATATATCTAAGCCTCGACTTTGGCTTGATGCTTGTTCCCTCATTATTTCTGCTTTGGAAGTTTTGCTTAAATGTACTCTACTATAGTAGTTGCTATCCAGATTGCACCATTGCCTCAACAGGTAAAAAGGTAACATTACCAATTGAATTGCACTTTGCTGGACAAAAGACAAGTAAGATGTGTAATTTCCATATGTAAAAATATTTAATTCCTTCAACAAACTCTTCATACTCTGAATCTTATAGCTCAAAAAGGTAAGTATTCATACTTAAATAGAAAATCTTTTTGTTTGAAAACTCTTTGAATCAAACACCTAGAAATGCTGGATAAAATATATCGCATTTTGAAAAAACACACAGCCAAGCTTTTAGGAAAGAAAAGAAAATCTCTACATGCTTGGAATAGAGAGGAAACTGAAAAAAGCAGTACAGCCCTAGATGGAGGACTGTTAATACTGAGTTTTGATACCTGTGTAGGACAGGGTACAAGAGCTGTGCCCACATGAAGGAGGGAGTGCAGAGCCAAATCTGAGTTCTCTTCAGGGAAAGGCCTGAAGCGGGAGGGTAGGCTGGGGAAAAAACCCACTCACTAGCTCAGGAAGAGTAGGTGCCTTCTCTGACTCTGCCTGGCTCTCAGCAGAATGGGAAAAGCATCCCCTTTTAAGATGAATCATGGGCTAGTACCAGTGGTAGGTTTGAAATTAAATTTAAATAACCATGTGGATGTGAGGCATCAGAACTGGCCCGCCCAAAATGTGTCTCTTTGGCTTGATTATTTTTAAGAACAAAAGACTCTGAAAGAAACTCTGACCTCCCTACCTCCTTCTCAGTGGCCTAAAAGAATCTGAAATAGAAGGGCCTGTTCCAGGAAGGAGCTAATACCATAAGATAACTTTAATGTGATGTAAAATATCTCTCTCAGGTCACATTGTCTGTATTTGGCCCATTTGCATTTCCATCTCCATATAAATTGCCTTCCTCCCCCTTGAAGTCCCAAACCACTACCCCCAGACACCCTCCTCTATCTTTAGCTAAAAATAGTATTTAGGGTGGCAACTTCAGCCATTTGGCGAGTTACCCAGTTTTCCTGGGTTTCTCCCATGTATACATGTTATAAAGCCTTGTTTGATTTTCTCCTGTTATTCTGTCTCATGCGAATTTAATTCGTATATCAGCCAGAAGGACCTAGAGAGGGCAGAGGAATTCTCTTCCTCCCCTACATGCTCCAGGAAACTCCAAGTCAATTTACAACAATAAAAATGGCTTTGGAAAGTATTATCACCTGGATCTGTGGAAGAAGCAACTCAGATCACTCTGGAAAGACAGACCCTCAACCCAAGATATCTAAGTTTCCCACACATACAGCTCCTCTGAAGATAGGTTCACAACCTAAAATTATAAAACACTCAAGGAAACAACCCACCATGAATGAGTCAGCAATCTACAGATAGATTACACTTAAAGGAATTTGATGAAGAAAAAAAACCACATGATAAAGTATATTCAGGATGATTAATACCATTTAAAAAAAGGAATTGAGTTCGTAAGAAAGAATAAGATGATAGGAAAGAATAGGCAGATTTCTAGAGTGTGTCTAGAAATAAAAATTGCAGTCATTAAAATTAGTCAATGGAAGCGTTAAAGAGAAGAATGAACAAAACTGAGGAGAAAATTAGTGAACCGGAATAGAGAATGGAGAAAATTACCAGGAGGCAGAACAGAGAGTTGAAGAGCGAGAAAATATGACAGTTTAAGAAACATGGAAGATTTAAGGAGAAGGTCCAACATAGGTCTAATAAGTATTTTGGAATGAAAAAACAGAATGAGGTGGAGAGCCAATATTAAAAGAAATAATGGCTGAGGATTTTATAGAATTAAAATTAAAGAGATTGTCAGAATAAAAAATAACTATGAAGCATGAGCAGGATAACTAAGAATAAATCCACACTTCAACAGATCATCATAGTGAAACTACGAGAACAACGACAAAGACTGTAAAAGCAATTAGAAACAAAAGAAAAATTCCCTATAATGAAACTAGGTTCCTTAACCCCAAAGGTCAGAAGGCAATGGAATCCTATCTTTACAGTACTGGGGGCAGGAACACAAAAACAAAAACTGTCTAATGCAGAATTCCATACGCAACAAATTATCCTTAATGCCAAGGTGGACTTGTGCTTCCAAGAAGATGGAGTAGAAGTACTTTTCCTATTCCACCTGTTCAGTACAACTTAAACCTGTAGACATAATAGATAAAAGAAACATAGGAAGACTGAAAAGTATAGAGAAGAAAGTAGACTGGCCAGGGACTTTGTGGTCTGAGGAAGGATGTAGTGGTGAGTTCCTTAGATTTTCCTTTTGCCTCATATATCCCAGACTTGGAGCTGAACAAGCTGGCAACCTGGAAATGCCAATGGGTGCAGATTTTAAAAAGCTCCAACAAAAGTCTGCTTTCTCTAGCCACAGGACCAGGAAAGGGCAACACAGCAAGAGAGGAAACTCTTACACAATAACTGTTTGACTCCAGTCAAACACCACAGAAGAAACTGGCCCCACCAGACATACCAGCAAAGGCTGAGTGGGAAGCCTAGATTTCTACCCTTTCAAGGCTGTAATAAGGTTCCCCAACACCCTTAGCAGGGTGGTGTCACAGAAGACCAAGTACAGAAGTGGGACTCTCATCTCTCATAACAAGTAGACAGTTATGAGCTGCCCCATGCCCCACCACAGTGTCAGCAGAGACCATGGTGGTGATGGTGGTGGG